GAGGGTGAAAACAAAAAGGGCTCGTCCTAGCGGGAATCGAGTCTATTGCTGGGTTGTACGAGAATGAGAAGGCTTCCATTTTGCAAGGTCCCCTCTTTTCAGCATTTGAATGGTTGAAACCTTAGGCAAATCAGGAATGTTTGATTAACTTCACATCTGGGGAACAGCGATGTACCCATGGTTTGGGAAACTCGGCTTGTTTTGCTTAATGATCTTTGGGCTGGGATCGAATCGTGACAGGGTCTAGGGATGTTTCTCATCCCCCAAAACCAAAAGGGTTTCCTCTGGGTTTCCCTTCATCCGCTACGATACCAAGGGTTGGAGAGTACCAAAGGTGGATCCACGAATTTTGAGAAGCCGTCATAGAGGCAGCAAAGTAAAGTGCCAAGTGGATGGCCGGGGTTTGTTAAGGGGTCAGCTACTCTTTAGTCGTTGCTTGGATTCCGCTCCCGAAGCAAGTTGCCACCCAAGAAGAAATCGTGCCTTGCCCCTTTCATGTTGGCTGGTATGAAAGGGATGCGCGCCCAAGAAACCCGACAAAGAAACATTGAAACACGAAGGAACACCACCATAGGAACCCAAACTCCATCTTGTTGTAGATTCCATGTACATCTTCTCTTGGAAATCTGGGTTTCCCGCTCCAAAACATACTGCTCCCCTGAAAAGCCTACCAAGACCTTTGGGTTGTGGGTTGACCTAGCAACAAGCTGACACTTGCAGAGGTCAACGACCAACCCCGGAGATACTGTGGACGGACGAAAGCCTACACCACTTTGAAACCATGCGAAACCATTGTTTGTTGGTATTTACAGGGAATCAGACAGTCTTTTTGTTCGGGCGGAACAAAAAGCTGGTTGGAAAGGAAGCCAAGCGGACCCCCTTGGCATCTTGGAAATCTCACCGCCTTCTCGTACTGCCTAGTTTTTTCATGAGTTGATTTTTTCAGAAACCAGTGCTCCCCCTAGCACCCACGATCACCTTGGTGACCTGTGTTGCTTTGGTCCCCAACGGAGACAAACGCAGCATTTGCCTCCCCCCGATCTGATGTCTCCTCGCGACGCGCAAAAAGCGCGCCAGGTGAACCGCAGAGAGCCTTCGGAAGGCAGGTGGGCGGGCGGAAAGGTTGGTTCGTTCTGCGCCCAAATGGGGTTGTCTCATAGGGGAAAATCACGTTTGCACCACAAAATGAGACCATGGTTGGAACCACACCCTTGGCTAAGTATTTACAACGGGGATTCGCATCATGGGTTTCTGAAAGGTGCTGCGAGATGGAGTTGGCAACCAGCCCACAGTGGTTCGCTTCGGCTTCCCTTTAAAGCACACCCAAAAAGGCAGCATCAAACCACACCCAAATGGAGGTGGTTCTACTCACTCGCGGGCTTTGCGTGGAGGTTCTGCCTGGTTTCAGAGGGGTGAGGTTAACCACTACAACTTTGGGGGTGCCCTGGTCGCCCCGGGATCCGAAGTCCTCAAACAATTGCGGAGCATGTGACGATGTTTTATTGGGTACTCACTCTTTAGGCCACTAGTCAGGAAAAATGTTCCCAGGGGGATGGATATGTTTGATTCATCCAGCCCAAGTGTTAAGCAGGTGTGTGAATCGAAACCAACGGGAAACCACCAGTTGTGTCAGTTGGCACTGTCACCAGGTGGAACTCTTGTCAAGTGATCAATCCAATGAGCAGCAAAGAGAGCCATTGCAGCTTTGTCCTGTGGATGGGCGAGATGTTGCAGCAGTTGGTAGGCGGTTCACGGTGGTTTATATATATATATATATATATTTGTAGGGTTCATCCATCCGAGGTGGTGAACGGCCATCAATGGTAGCACTAGGGGCCAGCGAGGACCATTAAGCGCCAAGTGTTAAGGAGCAGCCTTCTCATTTTCCGTTACTATAGCTCTGACAATCAAGGTCTTCCCCCAATCTTTCTTCCTGCCTTGCTAAAATATGTTTACTGATCTGTCCCTTGTCTAGGGTTCTACCATGTGGGTATGCGTCAAAACTCAGCCACCAATGGACCGGTGGTAGTCCTTGTTTCCATTTCTCAGCGCTTCATTTATTTTGGGGTTACCCTGTTGACCCACACCCGAATTTTAACACTTAGCCGAATCAACAGGGATCAACCAAGCACTGCAAAGAAAATGACCGTGCCCAACTTGTTTCTGGAGGAACCGCCGCCTTGTCTGGATGTACCATTCGAGGGGTTGATTCCCCATTCTTTCACCCATCGTTCTTCTCAAAAACCCGATCTGTTTCTCCTTGGATTCTGCTGGTCTGCAAAGAAGGATCCCTGGAAAGAATGGGGAAGCGTCCCCTAACCTTGGCCCCTGTTTGAGTTGGTTCCCCCTTTTGAGTTGTTTTTTTTTTTTTGTTGGGGGGGGAGGGGGTAGAAAAAGGGCAAGATCGCACCCATTTCTTAAGGCCAACTTTTGCGATCTTGAGGGAAGCTTTTGTCGGCCAAATGGGAACACACCCGACCCAAGCGCCAGGTCCGGGCCGGAAGGAGGCGGCGGCCCTGGCCCCAAGCATCGCTCGAGCGGGCGAGAGGATCGGGCGGTTTTTTTGGGTGCTGCTTGGTGAGGGAGAACGTGCGGAAAAACCCACGGGGCGTAAAGGACACACCCAAGTATGTCGGAAGTTTGGTTCAAAATGGTGATGCTTGGGTGGGTGCACATAGTAACAGAGGTAATGGTGATGATTTGAAAGTAGATTCGGTGTGCTTCCTTGGTGCTTTTTTTCGATTTGAAGGGTCAAACTTTGGGCGCAACAGGAAACGAGCGTCAAACGAAGCCAAAGGTGAACAGGTGAGACCAAAATATGTTGACCGTCGTGAATAGGACAATTCCTGCATTAGTTTCCGAGTCCCTTCCTCGGCCTGGCCAATTGACCTGACTTGATCTTGTTTCTCGCTCGTGTTGTTTTTTTACTTTTCGTCTAGTGCGTGTTTTGTATGGGTGCCCTGTCTTGGATTGGTTTAAAGGGCACCCAAAAGGAGAACACATCAAAATTCCTGGAGCCTGCTCAATAGAAATCGGCAGGGCTGCAGAAAATGTCTAAGAAACAAGCTTCCGTAAATTCTTGGAGTTAGCCAACTTCCCAACAAATTCCAGGGTTTTGGCTGACTTCCATGTTTCTGGGATCTCATGTGATTTCTTCGAGGTGCGGTATGTGGGCACCGTCAGCAAGATCATCAAGGAGAAGCAGTACGCCTTTCTCAGGCATCGGTGACATATTTTGGCAGGCCTTTTCCCATGTGATCGTAGCGGATGTCCCTGCTGGAGAAGCAGCCCGATTTTGAAGCTTGTTTTTTGTGGATTTGGTCTGTGAGACCCTTGCTTCCCGCAAACGAGCTGTGGTGGCCGTGTCACAATGGGTAGGGCCTTTTGCTTGCCCATCCCAGGTTGCATCAACTCGCTGCAGAAGGGACAGGAAAGGATGATAATGGATGGAGAGTCTCTTATATATTATTTGTCTCCATCCCATCCAGACGGATGTCGGTGTCACCCTGTCTTTGGAGACGCGACGTGTCTCCGCAGTTTCGTAGATGTCGGCTGTTTAGCCCTGCGCCTTCGGTCAGCCGGCTCCGACGAGTTGGCAGGAAGAACAACGAGACCCGAGCCGGCACCATGTTTAGGCATGTATGTTTGTGGCGGTCTGGGTTGCGGCGTGTGTACCACCAGTCAACCCCATGTTTTGTTCTTGGTTTCGGAGGTATGAAGGTGTCTGCTTATGCCACCGATGCAGCAGTGTAAGGTAGGTACGAAACCCATCATACGTATATAACCATACCTCCAAAACCCGTAGTTGCAAAGGCCTGGAGTTCAAACAACAAGTTCTAAAACATGTATATCTCCAGTGCCCAACACGTGGGGCTGACGGCTCCGACTGCGCAGTTGTCCCGACTTCGAGAAGGACGTCTACTTGGAAAGGCGCCTTCGATGGGAGGTTCGAGGTAAGAAAATGCCCACTGACTTGGTTTCTCAAAGTGGTAGAGCCCTTTTTGGGTTGGTTTTCGGGGAAGAGGAACCCAACCATAGGACACCGAAGGATCTGTGAGAAACCCATTTACTGTAGAGCCATCAGACGAACATGGCGACCTACTCACTAGGGGCCATTGGCCCCTTGGCCCACTAAGCATAACCTTTGCTGCTCCGAATCAGTACGGCAATCTGCCCCCTTTACCAACCGTGGAAGATAATGTTGCCTTAGCCTTCAGATCCTTTTTCACTGGAAAGCGGCCCTGAATTTCGGCCATCGCATCTTCGCCGTTTCTGCCCGCAGCTCAGCGTTCCTTTTCCCCCGATCCGATCGATTGCAATGTCCAAGCCTCTGCTGAACGTCGGGGAGGATGGGCTGCCGAAGGTGCCAGAAGACCAGCGCATGGGCAGGACGGGGCTTCCCAAAAAAATTCGACGAAACGAGCGCCTCCACGTGATATTGGACCAGACAAAAGCTGAAGTCAATGGATTTACCCCCGTCCAACATGGAGCCCACCACAGATTCCCTTTTGAAGGAGAGCATAGTTCTCCAGGCCCCTCAGTCAGGTTCCATGTTAGTGGACAGGAGACACTTTGCACATTCCCAGTTAGTTCCTCAATGAAATTCCACTCCCTTTTGGGGATGCAAAACTGAAAATGGAATCATAGCTGCACTGGGCGCCTGGGGTTAAGTTGTTCTGCTGGAAAACGGTGTCAAAAAGGAAGACCAGACATGTTATGAACATCCTACACGTACGTACATATGATATGTATGTACGCATGTACGCATGCGTACATACGTACGTACGTACATACATACATGCATTCATGCATGCATACATGAATACATGCATGCATGCATACCAGTGCGGTTGATTCTCGAGCTTATTCCTTATCAACTTGTTGCTCTATCATTTTTTGCTCACGCATATACTACCTTTGTTCTGTTTTGTGTTTTTCCTACCCCTGTTTTGCACATGAATCTCCGCAGGGGTTTCTTTGCCATCGTCATCTCAGTGTCCATGCTCATGGGCCAAGCCCTCGCGTGGCCCATTTACCTCTTCGGCAACCGTGAGGCTCAAGCCTCGCGCTTTTCGCGAGCGTTTTCGCGCGTGCGGTTGCGGGCGTTTCGACACGAAGGTCCCTTTAAAAATGCCCAGCTCATGCCGTAAAAGTGTATGGTGCTTGTGTTGGTGTCCTGATTTTTTAGCAGGCCCGGTGAATCGAAAGAGCCACAATCAAAATGCTGGGTGAAGATTTCTAAGGGCCAGTCCCAAAGCCATGGGGTCGGAGTTCTTTAGATGTACCACAAGATAGATTAAGCTCCGGGCTTGGAAAAATCCATCATCCCTGGGTGGCAGCCTATGATTTTGCAACGATTTCAAGTTTGAAGAGGGTGCCGTTGATTTTCCCTTCTGACTGTCACAAAATGCTTCAGCAAGCCTTACTCAGATGTGAGTCCTTTTATTTTCTCATGTCAACCATGTTTTCATTGCTGGACCGAGACGGCCGGACGTGCTCCAGCATACAGTGAACTTTTTGGTTCCTCTCATTTTCAACTATATTATGTTTCAGTTTGCGAGGTCCCAACTCCTCCCCTTCAATCAGGTTCAGGTATGACCGGGGCCCCGGGTTGTGCTCAATCTCCAGTGCCTCTTTTCAATTCTTCCTGCTGACTTCCGGGAGTCAGGTGGAACGAATCTTTGGCATGGTTTTGAAGGTAAACCAATGGGGGGGGGCCTTGATGCAAAAGTTGGGGGTGGTTCGTCAACCACTCTTCTCGGGTTTTATCCATCCGGTGCCTGCAGTGTTTGTCTCGGTTGTTCAGCGGCACCTTATGGCACCTTGTTTTCCTCTCTTTTTTTGGCGGCTTCTCGACAACCCACAAAAGTGTTGGTTCCCGTTTCCGGTTTTTTCTGCCCGGGTCAGAGAACATCACTGGGGCCAGCAGCTAACGGGCACGAGGCCTATGATGCCAAGATAGATATCTTGGCCTCACTGAACCTGGGCTGGGTGTGCCTTAAGCTGCAAGAGTTCCATAGGTTCGGATTTTCGATTCGCCGCTAGCCGCTAGTTAGTCCCTGTGTCTGTGGTGATCGCCAATTCGGGGGGGGGGGGTTTCACCGCCGAATGACAAGTTGTTAACCCCCACATTCACGGGGGACTTAAGTGGGTTATAACCTGGATGACTGTTACAACTTACAAACTGGGCGAATCGAACATTCAAGTAGGACTTTAAAGGATGGTTAAGCAACCAGTGGATGGACGAAATGCAACAGCCCTAGGCTCAACTGGTCTAGTCGTCCATCAGCATCATTGCCAGGACGAATTTTAAGAACTGTGTGCCGGTTGCTGAGAAGGCTATGGCTTTCCGAGCAAGAGGAACCGCCATTTGCGAGCCTTTTCCTGTGCACAGCGAATCGACCTGATCCATTGAACATTGACCCTTTGGTTTCTTATTCGGGTTCCCATAGTTAGCTAGCTGGTGGTTGGAAGGCATCTAAGGAGCTGGAGGGTGGTATCTAAAGTTTGCCTTTAACCTGGGAGCTAAGAGCGAGCTACAGGGAGGTCTGTCAGGACATGGTAGGTAGTCCAGGTTCCAAAAGGTGATTACCTGTTTCAAGTGGGTGCGAAAACAGTTGAGCTAGCGGAGATGTCGCAGACTTCAACAGAACGAACGACGTGATCTTTTCGCAGAGCTTTTCAAGCTCCCTTCTGGCCATGACCACTTCGCCCAAATACGACTTGTGGTCAACTTGTGGTCAATCCTCTCGGTGAGGAAAAGTTGGAAACCCGCAAGAATTTCCAGGACTGAGCCGGAAACCCATGAGCCGGCGTCGGGCCACATGGTTTTTTGGGATCAAAGCGCTTTAGGATCAAGCCGGTCCTGGTTGTTTCAGACTCCAGCAGACCCATGTTTTTGTCCCAGGACTTTTCATGAGCCGATCCCAGTTCCCCCCAAGGTACATCGCCCTCTTCGTGGTCTACTACACCAAGCAGGTGGTGTCCTCCAACGCGTCTCTGGCGCGGAACCACGCCGGCGTGCTGCTGCCGAACCACACGGTGCACAAGGTCATGGTCTCTGAAGGCGGAACTCGGACCTGGACGATCCGGGCGCCCCCTTTTTGGTTGGTGGCCAAGGGAAACCAAAAGGACCCCCGGTGGCTTTGGATCCGTTTTTGGTTGGCGTCTGAATAAATAGGCGGCACACCAACCAGGAAATGGATGGGTTTCCCACTTGATGCTTGAAATCTCCAAAGTTTCGGCATTCCTCGAGGTGATTCTTTCTTTTCGGGGGGGGGCACCCCTTTTTTGGGCTTTTGGTCCCGGTTTCTTGTAACACAAACCCATGCCGCCCCAAGGAGCTGTCTCAAAATTCGGACGCCAAAATGGGAAGCCACTTCGAACCAAACAACTGAGACGGAAGCTGAGTTTTTCAAGCAAGCATATTGTGTGAAAATAGGGTTTTGGACCCCAAATTGGGGTTGGTGCCCTTTCGGTTTCTCTTAAGCAAAAGGCAAAACGGGCCCTTCACCTCCACCCCTGCTGAAACAATCGGTCAGTACTTGTTATCAGCAATAAGGGGATAACACGCGGCACACCCACCAAAATTCAATCTTATTGGGAGCCCTTCGACTCCTAACTCCCAAAAACCTATTTTACACTCCTTTGTTCCTTTGTCAAACATGTTCAAGCAACGGACGACTCCACCCCTGGTTGTCAGTTTCTGGGGAGGTTAAGTCAGAAAATGGGGGCCTTTTCCAGCCGGCAAATTGCGTTTTGGCCCCAAGAAATGGCTCGTGGCTCTGAAAACTTCAGCAAATCATGAACTCATTGGGTAAAATCATGTTCTAGTCTGCCTGGTCAAGCACAAAGGGCGAAGGTGTTTTTTTTTTTGGCCACGAAGCCACGAAGCCCCCGATTCGCTTCGCCAGGAAAGCCGCTGCCCTACGCGCTCCTCGAGGAATCCGATTGGCGAAAAAAAGAAAGCCGTGTGAGGCATAGAAGAATTACGCCAAGGGAAGCGGCGTATTATTTGGTTTACGCCTATAAATTTGGTGTTTAAGTATCTTACTGCTAAATGCGGTTTGAAAGTGCAACAACCAATTCGAATGACTTTGCCCACTGTATTGGATGGTTCTACTTTTTGGTTTCAAGAAAGTGCATGGCGAAGCCTATTACAACCTTTGCAACCATGATTTTAGTAGAGATGTCCGCTTTCCCCGCGCCAATTCGATTGATTTAGGGCCTTCAAGCAACCTGGTTTTGAGACCCCCAAGCACCTCCGGGGTGTCTAATGCTTCGGGGCTGGGTCTTCCATTGAAGGCCGAAGCCGATCGGAGCCTCTGGGTTCTTTAAAACCAGGGAAAAGGGGGTACCAACTCCAAAAAGACCCCGCCATTTCACACCACAGACCATGCCTTGAGCTGGGTCCCCTGTAAAAGCCGAATCGGGCCTCGGTGATTTTTTTTGCCGAGAATCGCCCACCTCAGCGTCGCCCGTCGGTTCCAGGAGGAGGGCCCGGTGGGCGCCGCGAACCGCGCGCAGCGGGGCTTCGACAACCTCATGGAGTGCCGTCCGGGGCCGTTTTCGGGGAGTCCATTCTCCCGAAGGCTAAAGGCCGCCCCAATACGACCGACTTTTCAGAGTCTCGAATCCGGGAACGTTTGGAATAGCCAATACTAAATTAAACCAATTCTAAAGTAGGTAATTTGCAGCCCGTGCCCAAATCCAGCCCTTCTAGGGGACCCTTTTTGCACCTGCAATCCTTCAAAAACGAAACGGGGTCTTCCCAAAACGAACCGGGGACCCCCTAATGCCAAAACCGTTTTTGTTTTTGTGTGTTGTTTTTTTCCCGGGGACCCACTTGGTATGGGGGGGGACGTTTAGCATTCGGTGGAACGGATTAAGTAACTCTACGTCGGCTGGCTCTTAGTTGTTGGCTTGGATTGGTGGTTTGGGAAATCGAACCCCTGGCTTTTGTAGAGGGTAAATGGGAAATCAGGCCTTACCGCCAACCCACCGATCAAAGAGAAACCCTTAGTCTACTCCTTTTTTCCATTCATTCTCTCACCCTAAGAGAACCCCGGCTGAATCCAGCGAAGGGCTTCATTTCAAGGGCCCGTAGCCCAAGCACTCCCCTCACTGAACATCTGCAAGACCAATATATGGGAATTGGCATATCCCCCACCAATTCAAATGGAACCTGACAGGGACCCGGTTCCTTTGAAAGGAGAATCTTCCAGGAGCCCGCGAACGGCAGGTTCCATGTTTCTTGGTGGGAGGTTTCATGTTCCCATGGGGTGTGGGGCTAGTGCAAAAACACCTCTTAGACAATTGGGATGGCGACCAGTTGGGGCCATTTAAGATAGCAAGGGCCGCAGCTCATCTTTATTGAAGATCATGCTGACATGCCAACTCTTTTTGGGGACTTGCTCAGTTCTCAGCCAACCCTTTGGCTTTTTGATGTTTTCCGGGCCCAGATTAACTGAAGATTATCCCACAAGTTTGGCTGGCGAGTGAAGAGCAAACACAAAACAGACCCCAAAAGGATCCATGTTTTCTCCAGGGTCGCAAGGCCTTTAAAGTGAATATCGAATCGGAGCGTCAATTAAATTTGTGTGCACTTGTTTAGAAGCATCACTCAGGAGGTGAGCAAGTGTTGGAGCGCTCCGTACCTGTGGCCAAAAAATCCGCGAACTTAGCTTGGACGCGATGCTCAGATCTGCAGCGACTGCTGTTTTTTTCCCCCCCCCCCCCCCCCGCGGGAGCAAGTTCTGCGGGCAACCATCGAGCAGTGCCCAAAGCCATGGCTATGTAAAGCGAAGGCATGGGATTGGGTGTGTTTCTCAAAATGAGTAGCCAATTTCTCTGGTGTGTTTCCTTTGGATTTCCTCCAAGGGGTCGAGACCCATCGGTGTTGGGCAAAGTTGGACCAATTCCTCTGCTCGGTGTCCCTTTGAGTTTGATGCCAAGGGGTCGAGTTTGTAGCCAATTCCTACCCTCGGTTTCCTCCAAGTCGATGGTTTCCCTTTGATTTTATATACAAGAAATCCATTTTGTAGCCAATTCTCTGGTCGTTTTTTTTTTTTTCAAGGGGTCGATTTTGAGACGGAGGTACCTGCCCATGTACTTGGCCTATTTGCTGGCCAACGGCTTCGTGTATCCCTTCCCCGCCTTTCTCAATGCCTGCGTCTTCTTTGTGACGCGGGTGAAGTATGCCGTGGACTACACCAAGGCGGAGCCGGTCTGAGGGAAGGGTTTGTCCCTTGGTTGGAGGCTCACCCCTTGATTGGAAAAGGGGATTGGAGGCTCAGGTTTCTGCCAACCCCATTTGCTCCCCTGTCTTGTCTTGAAGTGGTTCGGTTTCTCGGGAAAAGGTGGAGCCCACGCCAAACATGGGCTTTGATGGAGAAGAGAGGCCCAGTGGCTCGCTCCGAGCCCCGAAGCACCAAATGGAGCCAGAAGAAGCCATGCCTTTTATGAGTACCTGGACCGATTCTCAAGCTACCCATAAAAGTTGGTAGTTGCTCCAAAAAAAGACTTGGTGGTTTCAGGGTCCAGGTATTTGCGTCGGGAAATCAAATCGTTCCAGTGGGTTTCTGAACGGTATGGCACAAGCCGCCCCGAATGCTTTGTCCCAGGAGACCAAGAGATGGGTATGGTTCCCAAAAGGAGACCAGGGGACGGGTATTTACGGAGAACTATGCAACACTACAGAATCAGCAGCCCTTTGCTCGACCAAACTAGCCTCGGGTGGAATGGGAGCGAGCCTTTCGAATGTTTTTTGTTTGGCTCGGAGTTTGTTGTCTCTGGTTTCAAAGAAACCAATGGCAAAACCCACGATTTTGAGAGGTCCAAACTCTAAAAAAGGACACCCCTGGATTTTGAAACCAGATAAATAGACCCTGGTTAATGAATGAAGGGGGTGGGTCTCATCGCTTTGAGAGGGACAACTCCCCATTGGCATGATTTTCAGGACATGTTCCGGGTTCTGAATCACAGATCGCCATACCAACTATCCCGTGGTTGCCATAAGACCAGTTTTTTTCCTTGGGGTTGACGTTGGGATGGTCATCCACCAAGGATTTTTATATGCAGTCTACCTTCGGGAACCACCCCCAGGTTCGACTATGGCGCATATAAGTATGCTGATTTTGCGGACAAATGTTCAGCACCCAGTCGGAGATTTTCTGAGGGCAGTAGACTGTTGGCATTTCTCATGTCCTCAAGTGGGCGATTTTCAAAATCCCAGGCAGCTCTTTTACGCAAGTAAGGAGTGGAGAACAGAATGTGTGATTTGCGTATGTGTTTCTTGCTTGATTGCCATGTTGTTGTGTGCACAGAAGCCAAATAGGAAAGTCCCGTTCAGATACAAACCCAATGATTGAGCGGAATGCTTGAACATAAATCTCGAAAAACATGTCCACCAGAGAGTGCTTGGATGTTCGGCCAAGTTAGTAAGTGGTCATCCAATTGGGGCATTTCGCCTCCTAATAACAATATTTACGGTGACATCCTCAAAATTCTGGAATTCTACAGAAACTGCCGCCACAGTTTACTGCCCCAAGGGTCATGACCCCTCCAATGCACACCCTCCAAACGGAGAACCCTGACCCCTCAAGGGCCCGCAGAAACAACCCCTTTGGAGGGCCCCAAAACCGAAAGCCGAATCGGACCGTTTGGGTGAGTAGCCGCAGAGGTAATTTCATGAGTCTCCCTGCGATTTGATTTTCGGTTGCTTCATGAGTTCACCCTGCGACTTCATGAGTCTCCAGAGGTAACTTCATGGGTTCCGGGGATTCTGATTTTTTTCTCGCCGCCCCCTTGAGGCCACGGATGCGCGGGCGGGGGCCTTCGCGCTCTACGGCATGGCGCAGGCCTGCATGGACGCTCAGCCAACGAGTCAGCGTGTCTTTTTGGGTTGCGTTTGGTTTTTGGTTTTCCTGGGGGCTCCCTTGGAGCCTCCGAAATGTTGTTGCGCATGTGATTGTCGATTGTTTTGCGCATGTGATGACGTTTTTGTCGGCCCTCGGCGTTCAAAGGCGTCCTTTCATTTCTAGGGTCCCATTCGAGGCAAGTTTCTCTGTTGCTTTGGTTCGCCAGCGGAATCAACCCTGCAAGTTCTCCGTTTTAGACCATTGAAAAAGACGCCCTACTACAAGTGTAGATCGCCTTTTGGCATGTGTAGCGTGTCATTCAACAACTGGCAGAAGGAAGGCTCTTTCGGCCCCCAGTGTGGGACTCGTTTCTTTGCCGCGTGGTTGCAGGCCTTTTGGGCGGTGCCTTGCTTGCGTGTTGTTGGATTGGTCAAGGGGTACTTCGTTGAGTTGTTTCAAAGCGAAGCTAAACGGGAAACGTGGAGGTCCACGCTCGACCTGGAAGGCGGTTTGTGGCAGTGAGTGGTCTATATTTTTGTCTAGACACTCTTTGGGGTTGGAAAGGTTTGGTGGCAAACAAAAGTTTGAACTTTTGTTGTCCAATCCACTCAGGAAGCGAGTATAAGTCCCCTGTGAAAGTGGGTAGCAACTTGTTAGGGTGTCATGCGGGTCCCAATTAGGACAACCACAGACACAAACTTGGCGAATCAAACAAGTAGGGTTGGTGTTTTTCAGGGAGGGGGTCGGGGAATACAGATTATTTGATATGGGTTCTAGCTTGAACCGTATTCTCCCCGGTGGAGAATCTCATTGACCCAGGCTTACCACATCACATGTCTGGAACGGCCCCAAAGAAGGTAACCAGGAGACACCATCCATGGCAAAACCAAGAGATAGCAAACCCTGGGCAAGCCTACTCCGGTGTGGAAACGCCTGGAAGCACTGGGTTTGACATGCATTCGGGTCAGGGAAATTTGGGAAGCGAGGCTCCAAACCACATTGCTGCGGTTGGTTTTCGACAAAACTATGCTTTATTCTACATATCAGGTGCTTTGGGGATTTGAACCCCCTGGTTCTTGTAGAGGGTAAACGGGAAACCACCCCCTACCAAACCGCCAATCCCAACAACCAAGTAGTGGAAAGCTGAATGTACAGGATCAGGATTTTGGGGCTTGCCAGTTTTCCAGATGTGGCGCTCCGCCCGAGTTCTTAGCATGCCCTCGCTTCGATCGAGGAAGGCATGCTGCTCATCGCCGGGGTGAAAGCGTTGCTGCGCGCATAGGAATTTTCAACTCCGCGCCCAGGAGAGGTCAACGTGAAAACGGGACGGTTCTGAAAAAAAAACACCAAAAACACAAAACAACGCCAGAGCAAAGGCTGGCCTTTTTCGCGTTTCGCCTTGAGATTCCTTCGTTATCCCTTCCAACCGGCATCAGGTTGACCTTTTGCAGGACGAAGTTTGGCCCCATGTGGTTCGTTGTTTGTTGGCTTTTGCCTTTGGTTCAGTTCGCTTTTGGTGTCAAAGGCCCTTCAGTTGATCATAACGGGTGCCCTCTCTGGGCCCCTAGTTCGACCCTTCGCTTGCGGAGTGGGCGCGTGACGTTCAGTCGCATTGCGAAACTGCACGCTTCCCGCCAGCTTAGAGCCAAGATCAGTGGACCCGTTCAATTGGGTTCCAATCGCAGGACAATAAGCATATCCAATCTCGGAACCCTTTGGTACTTAGGTGTTCGGCCAAGTGAGTAAGTTGTTGACATCCCCAAGTGGGGTTAACCTTGTTATTAGGGGGTTCTACCCCCAACTAACCACTTGCTGCCTTGGCCGAACATCCAAGCAGAACCCATTTCAACAGGTCACCCAGCAAGAAGCTGGTAGGGACTGGGGGGTGCCACCCATGGACGTGCTCCCCTTGGTTTTCTCCACTTGAGAAGCACGGCTTTCGCCCATCGACAAAAAAGAGTCCTTCCGCGGCCCCGAACAGAGTGGCTGTCCCCAAAAAAGGAAAAACAACCAAAAACCAAAAAGGAAAAAGAACCAACGGACCAGCGTCGCGCCACGCGAAGGGCGGATTTCGGGGCTGATCCGCACCCCGAGTGCCAAAGACCGCCGAGCTTGGGGAAGCCCAGATTTTGCCTGGGAAGCCCCGAAGAAAGACGGAACACGACGTCCATTTGGGGAGCTTTATCAAAATAGGCCCCACAAAATGGGTGGTTTCATAGAAATCCAGCAGGAGACTATCTGTTTCAGCTGGTCTCCTATTTTGAGAGACACCCATTTGCTGATTCTTTCCTGGGGACGAAAACGCAAACGGAGGCTAAACGCACGGGTAGTGGTTGGGCTTCCCAACAGCCATGGCTTCGGCAACCTTCGACGCATCCACCAATCCTGGGACCTGGTACGAAAACCGCAAATTACTCTTGCAATATCGGTACTGTAGACGGACGAAATCCTGCACCACTTGAAACCATGGTTGAAACCATTGTTTGTTGGTATTTCCATCATCATTCCACAGTTTCTGGTCGGTGGTGCGACATGGAGTTCGCAACCGTCCACAGTATGAATGTAATTTGTACCATAAGTCCATCGGGACCGGGGGGGTTCCGTATTTTCCTGGTCCAACCGTTCGAATTCGAACGGACGGGTCGACCAAGAGCCTGACTCGAAGCGGTCATTCCCTGCCTACCACACCCATCAGGGCTGTGTCTTTTTGGGATTTGGTACCCCTATGTACCCCTTTTTGGTGGGTGTTTGAAGGAAACCAACAGGACAACCCGCCCATTTCGCTGAAGGCCATGAGTATGGGTCTGTCTTTTTTGGAGTTGGTACCCTTTTGTGATGATTTTTGAAGGGAAGCCAAAAGGGCCACCCACCCATTTTTTGGCCGACTTCCGACCGAAAGAAAGGGCTCGGAACCGCAAAACCGCCAGGAAATGGGTGCAGAAGCTTGATCTGAAGATGGGCGCCCACGTCAGCTTCCGGGTGCAGGCTTGCCCCCAGTCGAATGGGTTCGATGCTCTAAAGACGGTCTCGGTGTGGTCAAAATAGGGTTCCCCAAACAGGGAAACCGGGAAGCCACAGGGTTAAAAGGTTGAATCGCTTTAGTTGCAAGTGGATATGGGTCATGTTTTTCACCAGGATATGGACCGCAGGATTTTGGCCGTGTAGACATTTACCAGGGCTCCCAACATGGATACCTATTTTTGACCCACAGCCATCTCCAACAAATCGTCTATCCCAGACCCCAGCAAGCCCTTATATTGTCCTTTTGGTTTTTGAAGGGTGGCAAGTTCCGTCAGAGGGAATCTAGCACCACTGGAAATAGTTATATGTTTTCCAGGGGACTCAATCAAATGGAAGTTAAGAGTTGACACATATGTGGAACGGTGCCAGGAAAAATGTATGACCTTGTTGCGGCCAAGAATTGTTACTAGATGGTCTCGCGTTCCGCGCGTTCCGCGCGTTCCGCGATCGGCGTTGCGATCGGATCAGGAGGTAGACAAGGGGCTCAAGGCGGAGGATGTACAGCTGGAGGAGAGCCGTCACTAGCCGCTTGTTGCCTCATGGACCCCAAAGAAGGGGGGGAACCGCGGAGGGGGGGGGGGGTTGTTATTGTTTATGAACCACTTAAGGCCTTATTCAGGCCTTAGCCTTGGCTTATCCTTGGCTTATTCAGAAATAGCCCCCCCCCCCCATAGCCCGTGACTTTCTGGAATGAATATGTTTAATGGGTATAATTATGTGATTCAAAATCAACCCTATGGGTGGCTCTTTTCGAAACCAAGCAACAAAGGGTTCCCTCAAAAAAGACACACCCATATTGGTGTTATTTTCCCCGGTTGGATTTAAAGGGAATCGATCACTGGAAGCATGGTCTCATGTTTTCCAGGGGTCCACATAATCCTTGCACTATCCTTTGGTGTCTTCCCGCATAGGGCGCCTGGCTATCTATGCGATTCATATTGGATGCGGCGTTATGTGTATGCACAGGCTATCATAGGTCTCCTTTTTAGGTTAGCGATTTTGCCAAAAGGACACCTATGTTTGCATGCCTGGATTCATGCAACCCATGCTTGAGGGATTCCAACTCTTGATCCCGGCCAAATGAAGCATTGCGGATACGTCGAACTGACCGGTTCGAACCACTTGAAAGAGAACAACTCTTCTGTGACTCTCAAGGTGATTTACATTCATGTCAGAAGACAGGGACACCAAGAAATGGCAGTCCCTTTCAAGCGACTGAAAAGGCCTTCGCCTTAAAAGGCAAACTTGGATACTTGTTATGTCTCAACGCTCACTTTTTGACGCTCTTAGCACGAAACTGGACCATCCCTAGCCCTCCGTTGGTGAGCCTTGTCCTTCTTTTGTTTGATTGTTTGAGTTGGTACCCACTGTTGGCTGTTTTTCAGGGAAGCCAAACCGTTGCGCCAATTTTGGGGTCCAACTTCTGTTTGAGACACGCCCATGTTGCACACATCTTCCATGTGGTGGTGTTGTACAGCGGGGTAGTGGAATACCAACCCCGGATTGATCAGCCCTTGCTATTAATAAGGGCTGTTCCTCCAAACGTGATGATTTCCCCACGAAGCTCAGACACACACACACACACACACCCTAATAATACGGCCAGCCCCTCTGAGGGCTGCCTGCGCCCCAAAGCAACGCCCGGACGCCCGAACTAAAAGCCTAAGCCGCCTCGAGCACTTGCCGTCTTCGTCACCACGTGCTCGAATTAGGCTCACACTCACAGCGCAGCTCGGCTCGTCGAAAGTTTCACAGACGGCAGCTTCGTTTTGCGCCATTCGGACAAAGCTAGCCGATACTTCTTGAGCGCTTCTAAGACATGCACTAGCAACTTGCCTGCAGAGGGGCACGTCAGCGACCTAGACCCTAAACCTGCACCCTAAACCTCAAGCCTAAACCTGAACCCTAAACCTGAACCTAGACCCTAAAGCTTTAGCCTCAACCCTAAGTCTGAACCAAGCCTGAACCCTAAACGTAAACCCTAACCTACACCTTAAACCTGAACCCTAACCTAAACCGTAAACCTAAACCCTAAAAACCCTAAACCTGTACTTTAAGGATTAGGGGGTGACGGCAACCCTCGTGGGCTAGGGAATGATATCCTGGAGTTCTTAATCTAAAGAACGTGAGCAGGTATGTGAATAATTTTCGTTTTTGGGCAATAGCCACTTCCATAGAATAATGCAATGGAATTCGCCAGGATACAGGATTCGGATCCTCATGGGCGCGTCCTTTCTTTATGCGTCGGACCCCAACTCGCGCGTTTCGTTGTTTTTTTGGTTGAGCTTTGGTGTCCCTGTAAAAGCAGCGAAAACAAGGGTATGAACGAGGAAAACCCTCCCACATGGTTCATAAATCCCCTAAGCTTGGCGGTTCCCAGCCGAACGTTTCTTTCTTCTTGTTTACTCAGCTCAGTGGTAGTTGTCCTTCATTTTACCAATGGGCTAAAACCTTTTGCAGGGGGTGACCTTGCACAGCCCAGAAAACATGTTTCCATTTGCCTTTCGAAACATGTTTCTTTGACGTCCCCCCTTTGCTTTTGATTGGAGTCTATTGAACCTCTGTTTTCCCAGAATACTTGTTTATCCCCTGTTGGTTTCAAAGGGAATCTATCGATCATACATGTTTTCCACATGTTTTCGCTGCAGCGAGTCACCGACACACGAGTGAGCCTCTCGCTTGCCGAGCCCGCCCGCCTTTTTGCCCTTCAGGAGCCCGACCTGAAGCCGGGCTTGCTGGGCGTCATCAAGTCTTTCGAGGACGCCGCAGGCGACTCGTCGCGCGTCGCGAGCCGCGAGTCGCGCGCGCGGACGCCTGCGGCATCGGATGGGAGACCAAGCTTTGGCCCGTCTTCTTCTTTTTTTCCGGATCCAGTTGTCGCGGTTTTTCTTTGGGGTGGATGCTCTACATTGACCATAGTGGAAATCGATTTTTGTTGGATCGTGTTTGAAGGATTTATTTTGAAAGGTTTTGTGGGTTCTACAGTATGGTTGGTTTACCTGCAGTATGGCCGGGGCATCCACCGGAGGTTCTTTGTCCATTCAAAGTTCATCCATCCCAATGTCCAGAGATGTACAGATGCCCTCACTCCCTGAGTGCCTGGACTTTGATCACTTGAGGTTGGACCATTTTACTTGGTTCCCATCCCCTTAGCTCCTTAGCCTAGTGTTTGGTGGGGGAAATCCCTTTTAACCCACTGAAACTTAAACATTCCACTGGGGATCTGAGGACAGCCCAGGTTCGTGGCTTCACAAAAAAGTTTGGCCACTTTCTCACCCGAGAAGTGAGTCCAGAGGTTGCACAATTGTTCACCCTGGCCTGAAAAAAGAAGGGGTTTGTTTGACCTTTAGATACATCTACAGGCTTCATGTTAGGTATCTGTTGAGCTGTTGTTAAGCAGATGTATACATCTACACGACAGATACCTTTAGATCAGGAAACCATCAAACACCCAGGTGAAACGCCGGTTGTTGAAAAGAGCAAAGGTTGAAAAGAATGGAAACGGAATCAACCCCTAGAACACATACCTTTAGATACCTCTAGATCAAACCTTTCGCCACCTTTTGGTCTCCAGGCTATGGCTTCATCTACAGCCCCGAAGCCCGGAAGAAGTACAGCCCGGGCCACAGCTGGCCTTGCCGTCCGATGTCCCCAATGGACCCGGGGCCCCCCAAAAGGATTTGGGGGGGCCCCGGGTGTTTGGGGCAAACGCAGGCCCCCAAAATCTCAGTTCAGCGAGCCCCACTTGGGCTCCCAAGACCCCCAGGCGGGATGAACCCCTGTGAATGGTTGAAACCCGGGATGAGAGCGAACAGGAATTTGTGGTGAGGCGATTTTTCAGCAAAGGCGCGTCAGGATGGCAAGATGTTTCCAGGATGCGCAACATAATTGCCTTTGTCCCAAAACTATCGGGTGCAACCAGCAACCGCATGTCGCTTTCGCAACTGTTTCCGCCCTTTGACCCGACTTTTGGGTTTTCAGCATCCCAACAGTTTGCTGATGGTTTACTATGTCCCAACAGTGTCCAATTGCTGTTGAAACTCTCGGGCAACATGGTGCACTCCTTGGTCCATATGCGGGAACCATAGTTGGTTTGACTACTGGATTTCGGTCGGGGCTTCAAAGATGAGCCAATTTGGCCAACCATGAAGACCGAAACCACAAGGAAACCCACCAGTTTGGGGGGTAATGGGTGGTCCCCCATTTTTAAGACAACTCACGTCGGAGTTGTTTCTCACCATCTCGGGGTGAAGGTTCCACTTCGCGAGCAAAGTATCCCAGACGTTGATGTATCGGTTTATGGAGTCCTAAGGGGAGGGTGGTCCAAGGGGCAAGTGGTGGGGGGGGGGTCCCTAAGGCTCCCCTAAGGCTCCCTAAGGAACCCTACAACCCCTAAGGAACCGCAGGGCTCTCGACTATCCACCTCCACACTTACCCCTCGGGATTCCATAATCAGTGACCTTGGCAAAGCACTGGTGTGCGATTTGTGAGCTGCCCTCTGCAGGAGTTCACTTTGGAGACCGGGGCCCATGTTGGCCTTCTCAAACCCAAGACCCGTTGCGACCCGGGCAAAGGTTGCGAAGAACCCAAGCGGAGATTTGGACTAGGGGGGTTCGGCTCCTTGACCCCGAACAAGACTTGGAAGAGATGCCTTGAAGGGGGGTTTTGATCGGGCTGCGCGAAGGGAAGCTCGGGAATCTTTCTTTTGGGAGTGGGATTTGGAAAGCAGCCAACATCCAGCGCAGGTTACCAAACGAAACCGGTGTGGTGATTTGCCCCTCCGTCTGTTTCGCCCCGGAGCCTCGAACCTCGTGAGACACGAGTCTTTGGGAGGTCGAGCATCATTTCATTCGACCCGCAACGCCTTCCAAGTTCGTAAGGCCGAGATGTGTTCCTGCATCGGAAACAGCTCAAGGAGTTCAAAGTCGGCGAGCCCGGCGCGTTTGGTGAAAGCGACGCGAATCTGTCTGAAAGAGGTATTGTCGAGCCGTGAAACGTCAAAAGCCCCGGCAGGGACGTTGCTTGGAACGGCGTCCCATTTTCGAGTAAAATCTTCATTGCTGGCGTGAACAAACACCTCTGTAACAGTCCTACACCTAAGGCTCAGGTGGATGGATTTTGGGACCCCTGCTCTGGTTGGGGTAGTTTGGGATTTTCCCCATGGCCCTAGCGGACCGCTTCCGTTTGGTTTCTTGCGAAACCCCTCCATTTGCCAAATAATATCGGTCATTTCCCATGGTGGTTTTAGGGGGGAATCTATCACTGCACTGGGAAGCACCTCTTGTTTACACTGCTCGAAGTATTGTTCAAGCAACCTTCTTTTAGTCGCGCTTTACACGGGACCTCATCGAGTCTGCTAAACGCTGAATGGTCTTGTTGATTGGGGGGTGTGATCCAGGCGCGCTGGGTTTACAACCCCAATCAAACAGGTTCGCCAAGTGGTGTCAGTTCTTCATGTTGTTTAAGAAACAGTGTGATCCTCATATTGGAAGTGACTGCTGTTGCCACCCTCAGGGGAAAGTAGTTGCAATTGACAAGCTGACCTTCATCCACAGGCAGTTTTTTGGATGATGATGCCTCTTTGAGGATGTTTGTTTTAAAAGAAACTCCCATGTGTCCATTTGAGTTCTTGCATATTCAGGGGACTCAGAAGTTCATCTTCCAGGTGCCCTGGCTATTCGGTGAAAGGAAATAGAGAACTGTGCGAGAGATTCCCAGATTCGGGCGGGAAGCTTGATGAAGGTTCTTGGCTCCATATCCTCTCAGCTGATTATTCAACCCCCTGATCTCGAAGGTGTTCTTTCTTGTCCGGATCGAGTCAAAGGGATCCCTAAGATTTGCAGACCCATAAAGGTCCAAGACCTCACTCAAGGTCATTTTGGGTCACAGGGCCACAAATTTAGGGACCCGGCCTGGAAAAATGCCTGCGTGTCCCGCGACAAACTCGTCAGTCGCCAGGTGACGCCGTTCGCTTCCAGGTGAACGAAAACCGCCAGGATCCTGAGGGCAACAGCAAAGAGTTCGATGGCGGGGGCCGAATGCTTTGCTGATGAATCAGCTTGTGATCCAGAGTTGCAGTGTTTAGAACCATCACCAGAAGGTGGTTGTGGGAATGAGGCTTCCCAATTGTTTGATAGGAAGCCTTGCATTAGCCCTGCCGCGTGCTAAGTTTCACAGAAAGACCCTCCCATACCATTTTCGCTCTGGTTTTGCTCGATTTTTTTGGGGTCTTTAGGATGGTTTGTGGGGCAAAGCAACCTGAAATGGCGAATCAAACCGCCACAATTGTAACCCAAGCCGCTAGACCACGCCGCTTCGAAAGCTTCTCCAAACCCGTGGGTGTGCCCTGAAACTTCGGAGAAGTGAACCCCAGCCCCAGGCTCCTCCATTGGACAAAAAGAATCAGAATGGGGCTGGGTGCGTTAAAGCTAGATTTTGAGTGGTCGAAACGCTTTTCGATGTGTATAGTGGCCTTTTATTTTTTTAAAAGGCGAAGGTGCTCGGGTCAAAGACGAACGCCTTGTCGCTGGCTTCATACATGGTGTCGAAGGATTAAACATATATTGCTCATTTGTGTGTGTGTGTGTGTGCGCGTCTATGGAAGGTTTCGGCTTGCCTGGGCCAGGTGTTTGTACAGGCTTGCCGTGTTCCTCATGGAATCACCTGCGATTCCTAGCTTCCGTTTCTCCTAAGCCTCGATTCTTTTGGTCCCGAGATGGGCCTTGTGATGTTCTACATGAGCTGCCTTTTGTTGGTTGCCCTCCCACCAAGTAAGATGGAACCTGACGTTCGGGTGTCCTGGTTTGGACCAGTTTCCCTTTGAAGGGACCCCCCTGTCAATACAAACGTCGACATGTATATATATACATATATATATATATATACACATACATACAAATGTCCACATATATATATATAGTTTTTTCTACATACTTATATATATACAAATATAATTATATATATATATATACATGTGTCCAGTTTTTCCCCATGGGGGGGGGTAGTGTTTTTTCCCCTGTCAGCTATGTCATTTGCTGGGAGGGCAATGCCCAAAACAAGTCCTGAGGTGACGGCCATCCTCAGGCCGGGAGCTCGCAGGGAAATCCATGCGCTTCGACCGGCGGCTTGGTGTCCTTTTGGCGGTGGTGTGTTGGTGGTGTTTGGTTTCCTTTTGGCATGTCGGTGTTTTGTTGTTTTTGCTTGGTGGTGTTCGATATGCTCCTTTTTGGTTTTTGTTGTGCTCCTTTTGGTGTCATTTTGAACGTCTCTGCAAAGAGTTGGTGTCCTTTTGGTTTCCTTTTGGTGTTCCGCTCGTGTTCCGTTGCTCCAGCCGCCTTGTTGTTTCAACCCTTGGGAAAACCACCCGGGAGGTTTGGGAAGCTCGAAATGCCGAGGATGCTTACTCTGTGGGCTTGCACGAAATGTCGTTGCGTGACATCAAGGGCGCCCTGTAGCGAGGGCCCATCACGGTTTACCGCGTGTCTTTTGGGGTCTCAAAAGCGCCCCTCTCTCTCTCTCTCTCTCTGTCTCTCTCTCTCTCTCTCTCTCTCTCTCTCTCTCTCTCTCTCTCAGCAACCTAAGAAAGACTACCTGTGCAACAGGTGTTGGTTTCAAGGGTTGCAAGCCGAAATGTTTGCAGGCTGCATGCACCATCTTAAGAAGTGTGCAACTGGGTTTCGACTAAAACCTCAAAACTGCATGCATTAAACCTGCCATGGGAGACCCAAGTAGTCTTTATATAGGGTCTAAAGCACGCCAATTCATCTTTGCTCACATCAAAACTCTTGAAGCAGGTGTTGGTACAGGTTGTGGATTTGACCACGGTCGTCAAGGGCCGAAATGTCCACCCCCCCAGAATCAGAAAGAGCAAAAGTCACAACCCAGCACCCCCTGCGATCTCCTTCCCATCCCCCCAAACTAGTAATCATGACAACTCAATGCGTTTTTTTGTTTTTTTGGGGTTTCGGAGGTGTTGGGGTTTCGGGGTTTTGTGGTTTTGGGGTGACAAGAAGCAGCCCCCCCCCTTCGCCCCGGCTGGTTCACCTGTCTGCAGGCCTCCAAGCTACGCCCGGCGCCAGGCGGATCGCTTGGAACTCACAACCGAGCGGGGCAACTGGGGGGTTTGGAAGCGGAGGTGGGTTTGGGATTTTCTGAAGGGATTCCCAAAAAGTTCCCAAAAGGAGTGGGGGGAGGAGGTCAGGGGAGGAGGTTGGGGGAGGTTGGGGGAACCATGGCGGAAACCAATTGGATTCCCAAAAAGGATGTTCCCAACCCAGAGGCTCCAATTCGAGTGATTTCGGGGCTTCAAACAACCCGGTTTTGAGACCACGAAACACCTCCGGGGTGTCTAATGGAGGGCTTGGGTCTTCCCTTGAAAGCCCCAGGAACCTCTGGGAAAAGGAAACCATAGCGGAAACCGGATGTGGGGATGTATCTAAAGGGGAAGCCAAATCGGATGGGGGATGGATGGTCAGACTTCATTCCCATTCGCAGAAACCCCGAGAAGCGAAAAGCGGCACGTTTTGGAGCAAGCTCGATACAGATGCACCAGTGCAGCCGTGCTTTGACGGGTGTTTGCACCCTGATTGCCAGGGAAGTACTCCGAAGAAATGGGGTTTTAAGATTCCGGAGGGAGTGGCCGCCGGGTGTCGAGTTGCTCCTCGGTGGCTCCTACCAACTCACTGAAAGGATGAGCTAACGTGCCTGTGGCTTGTTTTGACTGGCTTGGTGCGTACTGTCACACGTAGTCTGGGCTGCGTGATGTTCAGCCCGTTCCCTGAGTCGTGTGGCATTGATCGCAAGTCTTAAGTTTGGACAGCGCATCTTGAGGCCAGATAAAGTGCAGCAAGAGCGGTGGCTGGATTTGATTGCAAGGCGAAAGAGATGCTGATTGGTTTAGACTTTATACTGCTGTGTGTAGCCTTACCCGCGGCGCCCAACGTATGCGGCGCTACACACCGCTGGCCGGGTGTGGGGCATGGGTAGCAGCGAGCGCCTGAGGGGCCAGGAGGCGTAACGCTACTGGCGCTTACAACCTCAGGCGGGGCCCCTTTGGAGCCAACGCACGCCAGGCCGAAGGTTTGCAGATTGTGTGCCTGACGCAAGGGACAGTATCAGGCAACTGGGCTCCCGTAAGGACGCTCCCCGATAGCGTTGCCAAGGAAACCACTGAGTCTCGCGTTGGCGTTCAAAGCAACCTGCATTCCACAGGACCCTGGCTGTATGACAGCAAGACGATGTGCTAATGTGCTTGCTGGGGGGGCCTGGTTTCGTCTCTGCCATGGAGGGGAGGCCAACAGACAACGGGGCTTTGGGCTGTGGCTTGTGTTGATTGGCTTTGTGTCGAACCGTCACACGCAGTCGGGGCTGTGTGATGTCCAGCACGTTCCCTGAGTCTTATGGCATCATACCTGCATCCATCTTTAGATCCGGATCTCCGCGACTGCCCAGAGCTCAGATACGTCTTAAGTTTGCAACATGGACAGCTTGAGGCCAGATAAAGTGGAGCAAGAGCGGTGCCTGGATTCGTGATGTACTGTACTTCCTGGCCGTTTTTCCCGGTCTTTTGTCAAACAATGCAAAACAAATCTGAACAAAACGACCCATGGTCATGGGGTCATGCAGTACTTCCTGGCTGTATGTGTCTTGTGGTTTGCCAAAAAAAGGCCAAACAACCTGAAATAAAACGACCCATGGCGCCCAACATACGCAAGTGGAGGCGCCCGGTGGATTCACGAGGCTCTGTTTCTGTGCCTGATTCGGTCCGAGCCAGGGGAGACGGTGATTCTGCCCGAAGAGCCAGCGGCTCCGGTGCCGCAGGAGATACGGTGCGCACGGCTGACTTCCAGCTGACCGGCTGTGGTGTGGCTCGAAATTACTGAGATAGGGATACGCAGTAGCTCACTTCCTGAGTTCATGAACTTTAAACTTTTTGGGAAGACCATTTTAGTGGTAAATACAACGTTTGGACTTTTTTTGGGCCATCCACTCAGCAAGTGAGGTAGTCTTTGGCTCCATTTACCAAGGTGCTTTCTTTGAGATGGTTTTGAGCCACGGCCACTTCCTGAGGTCATGGACTTTTGCTTTCGTCGGCGAAAGCAATGACCATTTTGGCATCAAACCAGCAGTTTGGCTACTTGTTTGCCAATCCGCTGTGAGTAGACTTATTTTATTACAGGTGATGAATCCCCACAAAGGGGTCACGCGACAAGTTGCCCTGGGTGAGGGACGTCCCAGCTCTTGGAATGGAGTTCTATGGCCGTGTCTTTGTCGGGGCACCCCCAAAAATTGTTACGGTCCTGCTAGTTTCCCTCTCAAACCACCGAGAAAAAGAGGGGGACCCTCAAAAAAGACGCCAATCAGAAAGCTCCCGACTCCCGACCTGAAGAAATACAGTCGAAGAACTTCCGGATCACCTGGTCCAAAGGCGTTGTGTTTGCGTAAAGGAAACAAATTCAGAGGATCAAAGGTGCCTCAAGAAACCCTGTTTTTGGGTGGATTATAACGACCTCACGCGACCGAATTCACCCCAAATGGTGGTTTATGTGGGGAATGGCTCCCCAACCACCTTATTTCAGGCTGGTGAAAAATGAGATGATTCACCCAGCTGTTTGAGCGCAGTCAAAGTTGCCGGACTGGAAGCACCATCCGCGCTAGTTGGGTTTTGGGACTCCATGGTTTCAACAGTCCATCGACCTCTGTGAGACATTCCGGCTGTGTCTTAATATAGGGGAAATGCACAATTGGAGGTGTTCCTTTTGGTATCCCTTCAAACCAACCCCCATCTTTTTGGTACCAAGACACAATCGTCCATCCCAGGAGAAGCCTGAGAAGGAAGTCTTCATCGGGGAGATCAAATCCTTCAGCCCCGTGAACGGCGCCTTTCGCCCGTTTCGCCCGCGTTTCGAGGTGCCGTGGAAAAGGCAAAAAAAAAAAAACGGGGTATCCCCACCGGGTGCCTAAAAACCGGTTGGTTGGAGGAGGGAAGAGTTCGTCCCCAGATCTCCATTTATGGTCACCCAGCTTCACCTGTTTTTTTCCAGTAGGGTGGACACCGGCGTCTCCTCCAAAATGACGGTATGTTGTTGTTTAGTCATATGAAGCAGAGTCGGAGATGTGTCTTCGTGTACCCGTCTATGAAATAGTTGGCGATGAGTCAATACTTAGAATGGGGGCCAACCTTGAGTCAGGACAGGAAAATAATGTTGGCACTTATTTAGCCCCTCACAGTTCTTATCCCGGGAAGTTCATTCGAGGAAGGATTCACGAAGATGTTGACGCTCACAGAGATGTGTATGTCATTTGACCCAACACTAAGTCAACCCTTGGGTTCATGCGCAAGCCATTAAAACCCGGAAGGATTGGCTTGCAGCACGAACGAAGGAATCGCGACTCAGCTCGGAGGTCGGCGTTTCTTATCGCCTTTCGCTTCGCGAAGGGCCAGCCCAACTGTTGGACAGAAACCCAAACGGGCTCCAAAACCGTCGAGAGGTCTCATTGCTTCCCTTTCCGGAAAGACCTGGGCCTGGGTTCGTTCCTTCCATGTCCGCACCTCAAACTCGAGAAGCAGGTTTTGGCTTCATCGTCAATGAGAAGCTGTACGAGAGGTTCAAGCGGGATGTCTTCCTGCATGAGAGCCTTGGATCAATGGACTTCGGAATTTTTGGCTGCAGGCTATAGGCTAAAGACCTAGCAGAAGCAGATCATATTATTCTTTATCGAGATGTGGGCCTGGACTTTCTTGGGCTGGGGATTGGACCCTTGAGTAAAGGTTTGGACCGGTGTGAGGTTTTGCCCATGTGAATCATGACCACATTGGGAGGTCTCAACATGGTGGACCTGCTTTTTTTTGGTGTTTCAATCAGAAGCCAACCCAGCCAACTTCTAGGGGTCCCACAGAAAAAGTGTTAACCATAGCACAACTAGACCTAGTTGGTATCACCTTCCCAATGGTACCAGGGTTGCGTCAAGATAGGAAACCCCTTATCATTGCCAGCCTTAGCTTACCTTTCTCACTTTGTGCCTTTTGGGGGGTCTCTCATTTTGATTTTCAACCAGCAAAAAGCTTAGAACTGTTGCAGGGTCTCTATGTCCCAGTAAAAATGGCTGGCTTCCTTTTGCTTCCCCATCAAAGCCACCCCTTTTATTGGGCGGGGAATCTGAAAAAGCAAGCCTCAGGTGAAATATGATAAACCCAGGGGTTGAGCCCCCTTTGGCTAGACAGTTGGATCGATTCCCTTGTAAAAGACCATGCTTCTATATGTTTATGATGTCCACCAAAAGGTCCAACCACCTGACATGACCACTTCCGATGGGGACCCCAAACAGGTTCTGAGAAAAACGAGCTCCAGCTCGCACCAAAGGACAATCATGTGTGTGTGGCATCCTAGAAGCCCATGTTGCTACAACCCATGTACGGCCACCAAAAACATGTGTGGTGGCTTCCTCACATTTAAATCGACCCCTTGTTCTCGTCAACTCGTTCAAGGCGCTTGGTGGCGACATCTTTGCCCTCCAAAATGATGGTTGAAGCTTCAATCCTAGGTTGAGAGTGAACAATGACCAAAGCACGCCTTGTTCAAAGCCTCAACAACTCAGCCCAAGTGATATCCGAATCTGATATCCCCATCAGTGCCGGAACTTTTCCGGAACCCGAAAACGCCCGGAGCCGCTCCAAACCACCCCGAGCTTATTTGGGCCTCTCGACCCCATAGTCTGGGTGCAAACTGTGTTTTCTTCCAGAGGGCTCCTTAAAAGATACATTTTGCCCGTTTGGAACATGGCGTTTTCCACCAAAATCAAGGGACACCACCATTTACAAGTTGCAATGTTCAGGTGTTTTTCATGTATCCGGATCCCTGTTTCCAGTCCATCAATATATTCATCAGGCCCAAGAAAGGGCCAAGCTTCGGGTTCATGTGGAACCAAGTTTGCCATCCTCAGGGTGCCATGTCTTCCAGTCAACTCCAGTGGTTGACCGCTGTTCAAGACACCATACATTGGACAACCACCATTTTGGTTCCACTGAAAACAAAATCCTGTAAGTAAGACCAACATAATTCATGACACCAACAAAAACACGCAAAGCTTGGGGCTCATCTAATGCCACATGAGTCGTCCCAGGGTGCCATGTCTTCCAGTCAACTCCTGGGGCTGTCGAGGGAAGCACAACGACCGAGGTCGCAGTTCGAGGGGCTGAAGGTCGGAGACTGCCACGCGCCGAGAACCGACGACCGGTTTCGCGTGTCCGGGTTGAGGGAGTTTTGTGACGGGTCGTGAGTCGTGGGAAACCAAAAGGAAAGCCGAAGCCTAGTTTCAGGGGTAGCAGAAGGCAACATTTGGTGTTTCTGATTTTTTTTAAAGTAAGTTGGGTGGTTCCACGAAAACCAGACACATCCAAATGGCCTTCCGTTCGGTGAACCGACAGACTGAAGGCAATCTGGGGAACTGGGCTCTGCGGCTTGCTTTGAACTCCCAGTGGATGAAGGATAGGGACAGATCCAAAGGCTAACCTGAGGATCAGCCATGGATCAGGGTTGCGGTAGGATGCAAAAGCTTCCTGCTGTGCATCAGATGGAGGTGTGGGAAAAGCTTCCGGATTTCGAACCATCTGCAAATCGGCGCAGCCCACGGACGGCCGGACTCAAAAATGGAACCTCTAAGTTCCCGGATTCACCAAGCCCTGGGCTGTGGCTGTTGGGTCAACGAAACACCAAAAACAGAATCCCAAAAAAGGTGATGTTTGGTGCAAGGCCAAGAAACCCATCCCTCCAGGATCTTTCATCTTGGAGGGTCCCTGCTAAATAAACCGCCGCTGGGTTCAATGGTTGGAGGGCCGATGTTTGACCCAAGGGTTCCCGTACATGGAAATGTCCAACAGGATTCCCAGGTTCGGTTTCACAAGTTCGTTCGAGAGGTCCATGTGGGGGGAGTTCCCCATAGGCAAGGGGAAATTTGCCTGGAGGGATGGTCCATCGCTTCGGTTTGTCACCTGTATTTTACCAGAGCGAGTGGACAGCATTTCTTGCGATACATTTCCGTGGGTCAGTTGAAGGCTGTAAGGATGTCATGTGGTTGGGTGATCCCTTTGTTCCGTTTTTTGGGTTAGAGTGGTTGCACCCAGCTTGTCTTGGAACATTCAAAGTGCGCATCCCCGAGTCCATGAATTTGAATGTTGCACGGACGCACGTTCAAGACGATGGCACTTTTTCAGCATGAACAGTCAATGCACAGCCCAAGCCATTCTAGTCGGCTTTGTCAGGGATGATACGCCAACAAATGCGAGACGAAGCTCCGTCCAGTTGTTGCGGCTGCAGCGAGCGCTTGTTGCGGCTGCACGGCAAGATCTGGGTTGTTCCAATTGTTTCCCGAAACCCATGTCCACTCCCAATTCTCCCCGAAAAACAAGAATACCGTCCTTAATCTATGGTTCCTTCTCGGTTCTCCTCTGGATTTTTTGTCCCTTGGGCTTTTTCCGCCAATTTCAACGCGCCCAAAACCCACTCCGCGTCTGCTCACTCTCGACGTGCCCGCGCCCGCGACGCGCCCGGCTCGCACGACGCCGCGCGCCGAGGCGTGAGCTTCGAGGTGCAGATGAAGCGCGGCGCGCCGCAGGCCTTGGAGGTGAAGCGCGTGGCCGGCGCCCCGAGCGATCGAGCGAGGGGTGGGCTGCCGGTGGGGTGGAAGCGAGCGAGCGGCTGGGGTGAGGGTGGGGGCCCAGGGGTGGCTGGAACTCAGCGGATGGTCAACCCAAAGGGCGGGGGGTTTACGGGGGTTCCAACAAATAAAAGGGGGGGGAACCGCAAAAGGAAGAGGAGGTCCACCAAAGGAGTTTCTCTCGTTATGGCTATTTGGTGGCGGACTTTGGACTTTAACTTTTTTGTTGAAGCAGCGGATTTGTCCATTGGACCAACAAAAGTTTTTTCCCCAACAGCTGAAAGCTTTGGGGTCTCAGCCCAGATAGGCTCCGGGGTGGTCCGGGGCGGCCCTGAGGTAAGGTTCCACGACGAGGGTTCCACCAGAATTTCCACCAGAGTTCTCCACGAGGGTTCCACGAGGTTCTGCAAGGGCTGCGGGTCTAAAAAGAGCACCGCATGCTGTTGGGGATATCACCTGAGCTTATTTTTTTTGGCAGAGGGGTGAACAGCAGTGTTGAAGGGAAACCAAAGGGAAAACTCAAATAACCCCTATTTGTCACACACCAACACACATCCAGAAGGGGCCAGATTTCCATGGAGTGTTTGGAGCAACCTTGGATAGAGAGTTTCCCATACACGTTGCTTCTGTTGCCAGGGAAATAATTTTGGGCCTAAACAAGAATGTGGGTTTCAGGGATGCCTCGCCAAAATGAGTCATATGAGGGCCGTCCTAAAACCCCAGTCTTCGGTTTTAATTATCGCCGAACGGGGAGAAGTAAAAGTTGTCAAAAGCTGTGCGCGCGCAAGGAGCGCGCAAGTGCGGCCCAAGGGACGCGCAAGGTTACAGTTTTGAAGGGTTTCATGTACTGATGTTGCCTAGCTGCATGAAAGGAGGTGATATTTTCTTGCTGTACTTGTGGTTTCCGAATCAGTCAGACGCCAAACGAAGCCAAAGCTTCTGCGGTCATGACTTCAACAATCAGCAATTGACACGACAAAATCCGCGCAAGCCGCGCGCAAGCCGCGCGCAAGTTGCGCGCAAGCACGAGAAGCCCCAGCAAGACATCTAGCCATGCTGTCTCGGATGTCCTTAGCGGCGCGGTTCAAGCAATGGATAGGCACCCGCAACATGCACTTTCCTTCTTTCAGGCTGTGTCCAAGCTGTGTGGCAGAGCCTGCTGTTCTTTCTGTTGGGTCAAGGGTATGTTGCTGGCATTGAATTGCCGGGAGCGACCTCAGCGGGAAACGTCTTTGTGGGTTGCTGTGTGAACGACAAACACACTGCTTAGAAAAGCTTGCGCGCAATCCACACGAAAACTTCGCAAACCGAGGTCAACGAAAACGAGTTTCTGCGCCACTGTGCGCGCGCAAGTACGCGCAAGTGCCGCGCAAGTGCGGCCCAAGGGCCCAATCGCGGGCAAAGGAATATAGGACAACCCCCATATGAAAAAACCGCAACGGCATCATTGATGGCCTTTCACGGTCACCTGCAAACCCAAAGAGTCATACAGGTGCGCCCTTCTTCTTCTTCTTCTTCTTTTTCGGAAGCGGACCCACCAGACCAGATTTCGGAGAACTCCTTTCGGACTCCCGTGAAAAACGACACCAACCGGGTACCAACTCGAGAGAAGACGATCCGCGCATAATTTGGGCCACCCCAGCGCTCAGTTGGCTCGCCTTTCCGCCGTTCGGCCCAGTCCAAGAAGCTTGCGGAGACGGCCGGGGCCCCAGCGCGGGGAAGGCGTACGCGGGGGGCGGGGGTGATGGTGGGACCAAAATCTCGGAATTGAATTGGGGGGGGGGGGGCCCGGGGAGGGGAGGCGGGCGGGGGGGTGCCATTTGGTGTATTGTTTTTGTTTGGGGTTTGAGGCTGGATTTAGCCGAAACGAAGAATCGGGGTCTGTTCATTCCACCGTGGTCAAGCAAAATCATGGCTTTTCTCGGGCTCGATTTTAGTTTGCAGAGTGGCCATTCCAATGCCCAGCGAGGATCAGGCTGTTTCTCCAAGCAAATGCAGCAAGAAGCTGAACAAATCTGGGAACCTGATGTTCGACCCTGCTCCTTTGCTCCTACCACCAATGTTGGTTTCTCCAAACGGCTTGGGAGTCAATCCATACGTGTTGCAAGGCGCCATTCATTCCTTACCATAATCCTTTCATTGAGGATGTCAACTTTCCCTCATGTGATTTGGATAAGTTTGGAGTTATATAAGGGGGTCTCTCTTTTGCTACCAACCAATCCCCTTCCACCAACAAGGTCAGGTGGTGCGCAAGCTAATATCTAGGCAGTTCGATCTTCGGGCTCCCATGGCGGCCCCCAAAAAGCAAACCAACAACCAGCCTGACATGCGAACCCTGCACAGCTTGTCACAGACCAAAGCATCGCCCGACTTGATTCTTGTTTTTTTTTTTTGGTTTTGGACCCCCAACATGGCGCAACAGTGTTCCTTTAAAAGCCGCAAAAAGGGGGTACCCTGAAAAAATAGAGCCACGGTGTGGATGAATTGTTTTCGGGGTACTCTCGGTTTGGAGCCGTGCAAAAAAGAGGCACCCTGTTTTTTTTGTTTTTGTTTTTTTGGTGTGTTTTTTTCCTCGGTTTGGACTAATTGTGTTCCCGAAAGAAGTCGCGTCAAAAGAAGTCGCTTGCACGGGGCCGAAGTCTGCTCCAGAACGCAATGGCCTGGAAATCCCTGGGGGCGGGGCCACAAGCGCGCTCGTGAGCTCGTGGTTTTCAAAGCCAAAGACACGTCTCTCTGGGGTTTCCCGGTCATTTACTCTCCTTACCTGCAAATTTGCATTGGATCCTGAAATCCTCCCCCAGTGGCCAAAATGCGGTCGTTCTTAAGGTTGGAGCATTGAAATGGTGATTTTCTTTTTGTTTAGCAAAATGTAAGTAGCCTCAAACAAGGACACACCGAACTCTATTTGACCAGATCTTTATGCCAAGTCAACTTGTTCGGAACCGGCCCAGGAGCCTTCGAGCGCGCCAGGGGCTTGAGTCAAGTCGCCAACTCCAGGGTTGGATCCGTTCCCGTCTGCCTGAATCCAGGGACGCAGAGGGTCGCCAAGCGAGACGCAGCAGCCTTTACCTTTGGTTCATTTGCTTCGTGCCTGTGATCCTTAGAAAATTGAGATATCTTGCTCTCCTATTCCGCTATCCAATGTCCTAATGGAGCTCGGAAAGGTTGATTCATTTAAAGGGTTGTCTTAGTTTGTTCTTTTCGGGATGGTTTAGGCATCAACTGTTGGGTGTTTTGAAGGGTTTGTATTATTTGGGATGTCGGAAGAGTTTGTATTATTTTTGTTGGTGAACCCAAAATGGTGGTGTTCCTTGTGGTTTCCCTTGAACCCCTCCGGAAGAGCAGTACCCTCAAGACAAAGACAGACCCAAATGCTGCCTTGACTAGCTTATAGTTTACAAGCCTGATCCCCAGTTGCTTTCAACCTGGGAAGACCATCTTGGTACTGCGAGGCTCTCGTTTGCCACGCATTCCCTACCAACTGTCGGGGATTCCCCCCATCTAGGATCGTTAAACTGAGCACCTGAAAAACAAAAAACCGGGTTCCACTTGTTTGGTAAACACTGGGCATTGCAAGTAAATACGAAAAGCCACACAACAGCATCCATGGTGAAGCCTTGGTCCTTTGCACGATGCAGATCCCCCCTGCCATATTGCAGTATCGGAAGTGAAACATACACAACACAGAGACAAACACACACACACACACAAAAAAAAAAAAAAGAAAGAGAAAAAAGAACATACAGAAGCCATATGGGTCTATCGTTTCATGGTACCCCTTTGTTTTTGCTTTGTTCTTCAGGGGGAACCAAAAGGAAGGCCGAAATCTATGGGAGTCCCCTGAACAAAGACGGGTTTCAAAGGGGGACCAAACAAAGAGCAAAATCTATAGGTCCATCTTTTGTCGATGGTACCCTTTGGTTTTGAAAGGGGGGCCCAAAAAAAAGAACTGGGAAAAAAGAAGAAGACGAAACACATATGTCATGCCGTTCGGAAAAAGGGAAAACCGGGAACAAAAAGAAAACAAAAAAAACACAAAAACAAAAAAACCGTTTTGGGGGGTCCGAATCCCGAAAAAGACGAGCCGCTCGGATGATTTTTGAGGCCGAGGCTGGAGGAGACCACGCCGGAGGCCACGGCGGCGGCGCCCGGGAGCTCAGATAAGTGAGGCGGCGGGGTTGGGGGGCAGTTACCGGGAGACGGCATGGGATCAGATACAAAACATATATATATATATATATGAGGAGGGGGGTACTAAATATATAATATTATATATGATACATATATATATATATATATGTATGTATACAATAAACCTATAAACACATATATAGATATAAGTGTGTCTTTTTGTCAAGCGTACCTGTGTTGAGGGGGTTTTGAGGGGTAGTGTACATATATATATATATATATATATTTGTATATATATATATATATACACATACATTCATATATATATATATATATATGGAAGGGTAGAGAAAACAACGGTTCACGGGAACAAGGGAAAATAACATACTGCGGATTGTTGTTAAACAACTATGACGTTTGTTGGCACTCGCAGGGGAATCGAATCAGAAACCAGGGTTCTGGTGGTGCGAAATGGATTTTGTCCATCCACAGAATGACCACCAGTAGTTGCCTAAGTTTCATCATCCAAATGGGGTCCTTGCCGTTATTTTGATGGTAGGGATATGTGTGTTAGTTTCCCTTGTTTTCTTTTCAGGGATTTTTTCGCTGGAAACATGTTCTCATCGTTGATCATGGCACGAACAAAACAAGCGGAAGCATCTGTTTAGCGAGGGTACCCTGTTTTGTGGTTTTAAAGAGAAACCAACAGAAAAAGAGCCAACAAAAAATGCATTTTGGAGATCTGGTAAAACAACCATACCCACATGGGCAAACGGAAAGCATCGCCTCCCCCAGTTTCTTGGTTTTTTGCAGAGGCGTCGGCTTCCCCTTGACATTGACCAGAAAGGGTGCCAAATCGCTTTTGGGAAGGTGAGGGATCTATAGAATTCGTTCGTTGTTCGTGGGACATTGGGTCCCAACCAGCAAGAAGCCACCAGACCTGAGAGCTGTTTCCACGTTTAGTCTCAAGCCAAACTCAGGCAACCCTTCACGGGTGGTTTGGGTTGGTAACTGGGGGATTTGAACCGGTTTTGGTGGGTAAATGGGAGACCCCGGTATGGTTTCCCATTTGGAGTGGAAGCTGAAATGTGAGGCTGTGGTAACAGCTCTGAGAGCCTCTCGAGCTGTTCAATTGAGCCTGCTGGTTTTCAAGGCTGACTTGCACCGATGAACCCATACGTCCGGTTCAGCCCAGACAAAACTCGACCGGATCCTCAAGACTTGGAAAGAATTGTGGGGGCCTTTTCGATGTAAAAAGCAATCCCTGCCACAAAACGCGGGTTTCTCTCCAAGCGAAACCCTCATCCTGGGAAAGTTTCCAGCGGTTCCCCGGGTCCCAAACAACCACTCTCATTTGCTGAAGAATATGTTTTATTTTCCGTGTGTGTTTATTAGTTTCTTTCTTTGCTTGTTTCGGGTTGATTGATTTCTTTCTGAGAGGGATTCCCTTCTCCAGGGAAACGGTGCATTTTTCGGGGAAAAATAGCTACCCGTCACCTCGGTTCCGGGTGAATCCATGCAGTCGAAGGTCCTGCAAGCTGCTGCGCGCCGGGCCCCGAGATCCTACTGGCCATTGGTTTGAGTTGGATTTGAGCCTGGGTGCTTGTGCAGGGGGTTTCCCCTCCACCAAACCAGTCCAAACCACCACTCAGAGGGATGGTGGAAGTTCCGTTTTCCAGGGTCGGCCTTTCAGGTGCGCCCTAATTCGTGGCCTGGATTGGTGGTTTGGGGATTTTTGGGGATGTGGTTTGGTGTTGGATTTGAACCGGTTCTTGCGGAGGGAAGGGTGGTTCCCCTCCAAACCAGTCCAAACCACCAATTGGATGCTGAGTACTGTTACTGATGGTTCAACCACCGAATCCTTGGGTTCCAGTAAAGGGGTTTAGCTGTTTTTCGTCGGGTTGGGTGTCCGAATTTAGCCCACGAAAAGGGAAGCTTTCCCGAGGGCATCTAAGGACAGCCCGGAACAGTAACCATCAGGGTTTCTGAACGGTGGTGCGAAATGGACTTCGTCCATCCACGGTATCTCCATTGTTTTTCGACAGTAGAGCCCTATGACCCGGGGTTTGGTCCCTCACATTTCTTCTGGCCAGATTGTCCGCTTCACCAGAAGACCTGATCAAACTTGGATTTGGTTTGGCCGGTCGACATGAACGATCGGGTCCTTTGGACAAGTGAACAAGACTCCAAAAGCTTGAAGCAGCTTCGAGCCTTGAGATGACCACACCCCGAAATTCGGGTTGGAGTCTCAATATAGGTCCCAACAAATGAATTGGTTCCATTGATTCCTCCGAAACCACCCACCAAAACAGATCCGCCATGTTCCTCGGAGCCTCCTCCATTTGGTTTCCTTTGGCTCTCCTTCGATCAACCTTCCCTTCTGGGGTCGTAGCAGGCCTGGGGATCATGCTTTTCTGCTTTTCCTCGGTGTCCATGAAACAAACCAATCTTCCCTCCTAAGCCACCCAGGGATGTAGGTGCGCATGTGTGTGTGTGTGTGTGTGTTTTGTGAGGGTACCCTTTCCAGTTTCACCAAAAGAAAACCTGCCAAAGTAGGGGGTCCCATTCAATCTTGCGGTGTCCCTTTCGCTTGCCTTTTTCTACCGGCCATCCAAGAGGGATCATGTCCTGGCGTTCCCCTCATCCACCTTCCCTCCCTTGTTCCTTTGAAAAGCCACCCGTTAAACCAGGGGTCACTGGGATTTCCCTTGAAAAGTTGATGAAACTGCCACTTTTTGAGCTTTTTAAATGAGAAATGGAGGAGATTCTAAAAACCGACGAAGACCGCTCTAGTGGTGTTGCTGAAGTTTTCCTCGTGGTGTCCTTGTGGTTTCTCAAAGAAAAACCCAAGGAGTGGCCGCAACCCCAGAACCATCCCGGAACCTGCCCAAGCTGTCGCTGGAGAACCGATCTTGTGGTCCTTTGGTTTCGGCCGTCCGATAGGGCCGATGCCTTTGTTTCGCGGTTTTTTTCCCCCTATCCGCGCTTTTAAGAAGTGGAGAGTTTGGGGAGGACCTAAGACTAGCAAAGTCAAATCGGACGAATCCCACAAAAAGCAGGGGAGCGGGGGGGAGTGGGAGGGAGCAAATGATTTCCTCCGATATCTGTATTAACTACAGAAACTAGGTCCCTCAGCTAGGTGCCCTTTCTCATTAGTCTTTTTGGTTGGGAGGGTTCCCCTAAAATAGACGTCCTGAAAAAATCGTTGGCACCCTTATTTTCTATCCTCTCAAATCTGGAGGACCTAGGAAAGAAAAAACAAACTCATCCTCCGACATTTGTCTTAACAACAACCAAATCAAAAAACAGACGTCCGCCGAAGTCCTCCGCGAAAAGATTTCTCAAAAAGAACCCAAAGCACTCCCTCCACCACGAGTCGATTGCGCGCGATGATCGCGCGGCTCGCAGGCCTGCGCCTCGCAGAACACCGGGTCATTGCAGAAGGTCCTGGATGCCCTTGAGGCAGGCGCCGAGGCGCCTACGGAGCGACTTGCGGCGCGAGATGTTTTTTTGTTTTCCGGCGGCGCCGGTTCGGTTCGCGTCCAGCAGGGGAACAGGCAGAGGAAATCCACCGGTTGCCAAGCGGCCAAGAAAGGTCGAACCAACCAAAAACGGGTGCCCATGTTTTTTCGCCCATCACTGGGCTGCTGCAGTGACTTTTGGGGGCGAAGTTCCGAAATAGAATTAGAATGGGGTGCACTATGACACTGGTTGAAGGCATGGGATAATCATGATCTGGTAGTTCGCCTCGGGTGCATCCCTGGAAGTTGGCCTCGGGGACATGATATCCGACTCGTTTTGTTGCATAGTGAGTTTTATGAAGCTTGGCCCCTTAGCTTTGTAGGTTTTGGATGGTTTAGTGGTTGGGTTTCGACTGAACCCACTAAAAGTCAAACCTTTAGCAGATCTGAGGAAGTGTTTGGTTTCGTGGCGATTCGTTTCAATTTGATGGCAGAAACGTTGCGGCTTCGCGAGTCGCAAAGAAAGCAGAAAGCCCATACCATGGACCAGCCCACCTACAGTAAGGGAGAGGAATGGCTTGTCTCTTTTGGTCCCCGTTTTTGTTGGTTTTGCCTTGTCTTCGCTCCAGGTAGACGCAAGAGACGTCACAGGCGCGGACGTAGAGCGGTGCCAGAAACGCAAGAGGTCGAATCAAGTGAGCCGTGGACCTGCAGTGCCCTTTGGGTGCCACTTTTTTTGGGTGCCCCTAAAAAGGAAAACCACAAGGAAAAACCACCGTTTGGGGGTTCCCCTAAAGAGAGACACACCCCTTTCTTCCTAGTTGAGTGCTTCCCTAAATCTATCTTCGCGTCTAATATGGAAACCCGCCAGAGGGTCCCTTTTTTGGAGGAAACTAGTCTCCCAACCCCCAGCCCAGGTTTCAGTGGACGGGAGGTCCCCCCCTTTCCCACGAAAATCCGCGAGTTTTTCCGAGGCTCGGGGAGTTGAAACCTACGTCAACCTGCTTTCAACCCGAGCACAGCTCGGTTCAAAACAAGCGGATAGCCCAAACATCGGGCGATCATTTTCCTGACCCTTCTCCTTGAGTTCTACACGTCCGGCCACCGGAAAAAGTCGCCCGTTGCGACCTTCTTGGGTTTCAGCTTGGGTTCTCCTTCAGACAAATGCAGTTCACATGGACATGCACTGGGTGAGTGGTTGAAAACTGCGGTGCGTGTGGTCCCAAATTTGCGCTGCAAGGAGGTTGTTTTTTCTTGACAACCTTACCCTGACCTCAGACAAACCCAAACTACCCTACACACACCGTGAACCCACCCGAAACCCACATGGGCGTGGCTCAAACATGTAGGGCAAACCGCAGGTCTTTGTTTCCATTTGCCAGGCAATTTTGGTTGGTACCCATTTTCGAGCCACAGCCACAGTGCCATGAATCTAAACAGGGTTCGGAGCCCTAACGTGGGCAATCCTTATTTGGGGTGCGTGTTGTTTTGCAGGGGAACCCCTTTTTGGGTCGGAGCACAAAGAAAACCCTCCAGTTTGGGGATCTCCATTAATTGTAGACACACGTGGTGTCCAATTCGGGCTCCCATTGAGGTCAGAACCCCCTGGTTGTCTCGGCCCTGAACATGCGGGGCGCCGAAAAGCGGGGGCTCCAACAGCGAGCGGATGGGTACGAGTGGCTCGCGGCGCGTCTTTTTTGACGTTCAGGAAGACCAAAGGGCAAGCAACATGTTGAGGGTAATGCCTGTTGTTCAGGTGGCTTCCAAGGAAAACTAAGGGGAAGACCGAAGGGTCCACATCTATTTTGATTTTGTGGATGAACCCAGACACGCAGTGGATTGCTTCATTTGCTCATTCTCGTTGGAGGGGGAACCGTTTAAATCAGCTTCCAAAAGAAGGATGCCCGGTTTTCCCCACGGCCACTGGGGTCTGGGTTGCGCCTGGTTATTTTCCTCAGGGCCCAGCAATAAGGAGTCCGCACGACCGTGGGTTGTTGGGTTTCATGTTAGAATCCGCGGAGTAAAATCGAGAAGTCCCGACGACCTCCTTTGAAGCCGGATCCGGGGTTGACCGTTACTAAATTCAGTGGCTTCCACCCTCCAAGTCCCTTTGGGTTTTCACTCATGAGGGGCTCAACTTGCCGTCATGGCCCACACGGGTTCAACTTGCTTCTACCGCGTCAGGAAGTGCAAGTTGCTGATCCAGCACCGCGCGGACGTCCACCAGCCAGCTGTGGCTGGAGGGCCTCTTGGCCGGAAGGAACGCCCTGGGTCTCCTACCTAGTCTATTCCTCAAATTATTTGAGAGGTTCAGCCAATGGACACCTGAGTGTGTGCTTGTGCATGTGTGTGTGTGTGTGTGTCATTTGCCAGCTTTTCCTTTTCCTCAGCCCTGTTGCAACACGATACCCTTGGTTGGTGCTTTAAAAGCACCACGGTGTTGGGTTTCGTCCCCGTTACACCCACTGCAGGCCACTTGAAGGTCTCGTGTTGGGGTGTTCAGGTCGCTTGGGGCCAATAAAAATAAATAATAATAATAATAATAATAATAATAATAATAATAATAATAATAATAATAATAATAATAAAAAATAATAATAACGCGAGCATGGTTTGGGGGCTTCAACACCCCGTGAATACAAATATATTGTCCGGCCACGGGGTTTCGGGTTTTCGGTCTCTCGGTGTTTTCGTTTTTTTTGGGTCTCGGCTCAGGTCGCAAAGCACGCTGGACTGGGCCAAGGAGCGCATCAACGCCAGCTTCGCCGCCTTCCTCGAGGCGAGAAGCCCGAGGCTTCTCATCCCGTCAGCCCGTCAGCCCAAATTCGCCCCAGGAAGAACATAGCCATGTGCTTCAGAAATAGTTTTGTCATTTTTTCCCGGATGGGAACAAGAAGGGAATCTATCTCTCTTGGAGATATGTGTCTATTTTTGTCCAGGGGGCTGGCTCGATAGGCGGGCAACAAGCCCCACCCACCCCACTCATCCACCCTGCCCCCTTATGGTAGGGATGGTGTTTCCCTTTTAGATGCTCGGCTTTCGGCGAGAGCTTTTTGGGGGTAAGGAAAACCAAAAGGTTGAACATTACCCAAAATGGGTCCACAAGGAGGCAAAGATTCGGCCCAACCGGTTGTTGGCAAGGTAATACGATGACTCAGAAGAAACCGGATTACCCTTGTTGAGGACCCGTGTGACGTGATCGTTGATTGCCTCGAAAGAGGAACGAAAAGGAGGGTGTTTGAGTCAGGGTGGTTTTAACATTTGGGCGTGTTTTGTAAAAGCAGACCTGCCAAAATGGTGGGTTTTCCTTTAAGCCCCCAAAAAAAGGTGCCTTCGAAAAAAAGGGGGGGAAAACAACATGACACCTGCATTCTTAAACTAATTGTCCCAACCAGGTCTCACGCTACCACACCCCAAACACCCCTCCGGTTTGAGTCTATAGTCTTCAAGGGAGGCAAAGGACATGGAGTAAAAAACTTCTCAAAGCAGAACCAAACCCAAGAAAAGTTGGATGGAGAGAGCATGGGGCTTGGGTGAGTAAAAGCCATTTGAAGATTCCAGCCTGACCCCGGTGTCCAAGATGGTTTTCAAAAAAGGGTCCGCGCCAAAATGGTTGTCCAACCAAACAAGGTCACGTGGTGATAGTTACCCTTGGCGTATGTCAGTCACCGCGCAACAAAAGCGACGTCGTGTTCGCCGCTTGTTTCTGAGCTCCGGGTAGCTGGAGTCGCTTGCTCGCGAAAAGTAGTTGCAAGCTACAGCAGGAAATCTTTGCTAATGCAAGTGTGTATATTAGCAGATTCAGGTAAGTTACATCTCCAAACAAAGGCATGAATGTGTTCGAGCAGCCGTTCATTCAACGCCACTGCCCGCCTTACTTTGGATGCTTCGGAGAACAAAAGTATCTAAACACTGCCACCACCTCGCAGCCAAGAACGTAGCTCCCCTGCAACTTGCTGCTGGCAAGCTTTTTGCAAGCTGAAGCAAGAGTCTATGAGTAATGATCGCTGAACCCAGGAACAACACTCAGACAGCATTGTTTCAGCCACAAATCTCTGCCTTGCATCTAGGAGATCTAGTGCGGCCAAGGCAGACAAAAACTAGGGATAAGTCCACTACCGAACCACCTTTGGCCTCAGACTCAGGCAAAGCATGTGCCAGTTGCGCGCACATGTTGTTTGGAGAGCATATATGTGTGCGCGTGTCAGCGGCCCGGACCTGTCCCGCATGTTCACCTGTGTACACGGCAGGTGTGCGCTTGTGGGAAAAAGCACCAAGGGGAAGTATCAACACGGGCAGTCGTTCCCCCAACACAAATGGTCTTCCAACCAGCCAAAACGGGTCGTTCCCCACTATAAAGATTGGTGTTCCATCCGCCAAAAAGTGTCGTTCCCCACGAATACAGCTGCTTTCCAACCAAACCGAGCGCCAAACAAAAGAGCTGTTGCCCGCCAGGACTGGTTGTGCAAGCAAAAGTTTCGGGCGTCCATCTAACCCAGAGGGTCTCTTGGTACCTTCTAAGGAGGTACTGAACGACCCCTTTCTACCCCCCAAAAGCCATCCTCATGAGGTACCAAGGGACCCTCTGGGTAATGTGGGCCCCGCAGAAATTTACCCCAACCTATTTGGGTGTTCCCCTGTGATGAATCCCCTCAAGTGGACACCCCTTCTTTTGTGGACGCACGAAATCCATTTCGCACCACCCAAGAATCCCTGAAATGATGGTTCCCTGTAAAGACCAACAAACGTTATGGTTTTACGCATGGTTTTCATTTCGTGTGCAAGGTTTCGTCCATATGAAAACCAAGCAGGGGCTCCTCAGGATCCGGGGGTCTTCCGTCCAGGCCTTGTCGAAAGGTGAGGAGGCGGACCTGGCGGGAGCCTCAAAGGGCAGCGAATCGAGGGGAGTCTGACACGACATGGTGTCAGCTTCCCTCTCGGGAATGTGAGGTTGGTGGTTTGGAGGTTGGTGGTTTGGAGGTTGGTGGTTTGGAGGTTGGTGGTTTGGAGGTTGGTGGTTTGGAGGTTGGTGGTTTGGAGGTTGGTGGTTTGGAGGTTGGTGGTTTGGAGGTTGGTTGGGTGACGGTTTTGGAGTTAGCTCCGGGTTGTGGGAACCCACAAGGGGCTCAATGACCCACCCACCCCCCTTAGGGATACCATTTGTTGGTTCAGCGCCCCTCTAATTGGTGATGTGGATTGGTCTGGAGGTGAAAGTGAAACGGGGTGGCTCGCAACCTACTGTCAACAAGAAGCAAGGAGTCAAGTCCAAATCCAAACCACCAATTAAGGGTTACCTGATGGTGGGTCAGACCAAACAGAGAGTCAGAGCGATTTCTTCTGAAAGCCTCTCTGCAAATTCGACTCACGTTGGTGAAAGAAATCTACTGGAAAACTGAAACACGCCATGGGTCCAGGGTGAATTGGAGTTCTTTCCATAGAGATTCCAGGAGGGTATGTCGGTCAACTCAGGTTGTTTTTTTTGTTTTTTGTTTTTAAAGAAGTTGCGGAGTTTGAAGGCAAGACTTTAATATAGAGAATCTCTGTCCCTGGAGAAAAACCGAATGGAAGTCGCACGCCTGTAACCTCACGTTGAAAAAACTGGGCTGTTCCAAATGGCCAAGCCGATTTTTCCATCCCGATACAAAAGCCACAAGGATACCGGTTCCGAGATGTCGTGTTTGTTTTTCTTGTTTGCTCTTTTTTTTTTTCTTTTTTTTTTTCGGGAGGAGGAAGGTCCAGGTTCGGGACTGGCATGCCTGTGTTTGTTTGGTCCACCGAGGCCATGCTCTTGGATGCCCCGGCGCCGGAGGAGTTCTAGGCGCGGGCTTCGAGTGGTGACGCAGGTCACTTGGTTCGGGGAACCACCCGAAGGGCCGGGACCCGCGTGTTTTGGTGTTCCTGTTGGTTTGCGTTTTGAAAACCAAAGCACAACAAGGGGACTATGGCTGAAATATATGAATGTACCAAAATGCAGCTTGGTAAATGGAACCAAAGACTAAAACCTGCAGACCGCCCAAACAACAAAAAAACATGAAGAGAAACATCAGTTGCGCTTGAAGTGGCGTTCAGGTGGACCCCCAGTCAGGAAGTGAGATGCTCAGAAATATTCAAAGGGGTACCAACTAGAAAACTGGCTTTCCCTGTTGGGTCCCCTTTATGGTGCGATCCACAAAACGGACTTCCGAAAGGGCCTTGCCTTTCTACCAGAAAAGCGTGAACCAAGGGGTTGGAAACAAACAGTTTCATGTTGATCGCTTCATCAAATGCCGTCATCGAGGTTGGGAAAGCCCGAATACACTTTCCCAAAAAGCAAAACCATGCCAGGGATTGCTCCAACATATGGTGACATTTACCTGGCAAAGATGAAGTCTAGACGATTTGCTTTGCAGATGTTTGATGGTTAGGAATACACGGCCGCATGGACCCTCTCAGGAAAATGCACGTTGGGAGGGATGTTCATCTTGTTCTTTCTACCCATCGTTCTTTGCAAAGACGTGGCGCCGACCGTTCTTTCTGGAGACCATCAATGATGGGTTCAGACTGTTTTGAAGTTAGAGTTGTTCTTTCCTTTTAAAGTTCGTCACATGTCGCTTGGCGATTTCTCACCGACCCAACAGCACAAGGTTGCAACCTTTTGCAGGAAACTGGCCATGGAGGAAAGCACAAGTAACACACTTTGACGGATTCCTTTGGAATTTGCAGAGAAACCACCCCAAGGCGTTGTTTCCTAGGACTGGCAAGCTTCCCTTTCCCCAGAGCTTACAGGTACCATAGGCCAGTGAAAACCATCACAACCTAACAGGTAAGGATCCTGGACAAGCCTACTGCCTGCAACTGGAAGCAAAGGGAGAAAAGAAGAAAGCTGCAGCCCGTTTCTCCCGAACGCATGGGCAGGCGAAAACGCGTTTTCGCAGGCCCGAAACGTTTCGCCGACTGACAGCGTCTGAATGTCTCGGTGCGGTTCTCCTTCGGGACAGTGCAAATTCCGAGGGCGTGAGCTTGAGCCCCCAGATCTGGCTTCGATGGCCCGTCATGAAAATGCCGCGGTCAGGGGCCCAGAGTTGCAGACAGATCGTTTTGGGAGACTCTCTTTTGGGTTTCATGTTGGTTTTTTTTGTGCGGCCCGTCAGATCCATTTCGGAGTGCCACGAATCCACTCGGAGCAACGCGCAACGCCATCTCCGCCACGAATCCAACCCACGCAGCCGGGGGAAAAAGAAAGAACGCGGTGCGTTCTGGACTGGGAACGGCTGGGGTCTCTCAAAATCAACCCAAAAGTGCCGATTCCATCTGTGCCACGGTCAAAACGCGCCTTTTGCTCGATATTTACTTGGGAGTTACCAGGAATCACATGCTTCACAAGCGCCACGATTTTTTTAGCCAGGGAGCCATGACCCAACACATGCCAACTCGATGCCACTGCTTTGGCCAGTCGACCGGAAGCCTTGGGACTTCACGGAAGATGCCTTGAGACGCAGCGGACGCACCGGACGCACCCTTTGGACTTCGGGGCATGTGAGTGGCGGTTTTCTAGGGGCGATCACGTGAAAGAGTCGGAAAGAGGTCTGAACCTGCAGGTCACTGCAAACTTCAGGCGCAGAGAGAGTTGTTGTTTTTTTTGCACATATATGACCATGGGTCATAACCTATGGCTCCGTTTTGGGGTGGATGGACACACCCGTGGTTCACCAGGGGTACAGGGTTTGACCCACACCCATATGAGTCACTCGTAGTTGGTTTGGTCTACGGAAAAAAGGACTTGCGGACCGGCTCTCCAATGTCCTTTTGCTGCAAGTACATGCCTGCGAGCGGACAATGGAAGGCTTCGGAATCCGAAGATGTGCCAAAGCCGTTTTTGCTTTCTTTTAAACACTCACCCAGTTGCCCAGTGGTACCCTTTTTTCTCTTTTTTTTGGGGGGGGAAGGGGTCCCCTTTAAATTTAAAGCCAGCCAAGAAAGGATGCCCTTTTTTCTCCATGGCCACTGGGCATCCGAGCCCATCAAAGCATTGGGTTGGTGAACATTGAAAAAGGGCCTATTTCTGTTCGAGCCCTTGCCTTTGTTTTGCTCCCAGAGGCAAATTATCTGGGGTTCAGCCACTTGTTTTGGATTGCAAACCGGTGTCAGAAGGCAAGGTGAGCATGCAAATTGGTCATTGGCATTGCCGCGCCTGCCGACGAAGAACAAAAAAAACAGAAGGACATGCCAAAAGCCCAGAATCACCTTGGATCATGCCATGCTGAGCAGATTTCGTGCAGCCTCAAACCAACCTGCTGGATTGCTAGCCAAAACACGAAATGTGCCGGGCGCGGATGGCGCGGGAGAAGTTGGACCTGGATCCGGAGAGGCCCGCCTTCCTGCTGCTCAAGGCGAGAGACGGAGACCAGACCAGGGGGGTACCCGGGTAGCCGTTTGGTTTGGAGTTACTCTCTTTTTGGTGCTCAAGTTGAGAACCACGATTTTATCGTTGTTGTTTTTTTTGTTGGGGGCGGAGAACCACTTTTTTCTTGTTTTGTGTGTGCGTGTTTTTTTGGGGGCTCCCTAAAACAAAAGAGATGGGGCACTCCCTTTCCTTGGTTCTTTTTGAGGGGTTCCCTGCATCCAAAAAGAAATCCACAACCCTGGGAAAGGAAGCTGAGATTGCTTGGTTGGAGCCTTTGTCCCTGCTCAAAAGGGGAATGAAAACCCTAGTAGATGAAAGCTAGGAGGGGGCAGTATTGAGAGAAATGGGTGCGAACGCCCATAAATTCCCTTACGCGGATTCTTGGTAGAACATGTCAATACCGATCGGTTTTGTGACTCGAGGGCTCTGGGGAAAGAACCTTTGATTCTCTAAACCACTCGATTCGATTCGGGCTCCTCTTCGCAGTCTTGGAGCAAGTTTTGGGCTGGGAAGGAAAAAGAGCTGTGCTTTCTTTGGTTGAAGGTGTCCCCTAGTTTGAGACACATTCAGATTGGGCAAATCCCGACACCGATCCTGAGCTCAAAATGATGTTGTACGTTGGGGTTGGCGCAATAGGCAATTCCACATATGACTTGCCGAGACAACTCACGTTCGCGTTGCCAGATTCAAAACTACCGGGTTCCTTGACAAATTGTTGAAGCCCGGTCAGGTTCCACGTTGGATAGGAGGATATCAGCGTTCCAGCTTGAACTGATCCATTTGAGGCCCTTTGAAAGCAAAAAATCCTGGAGATTTAATGTTTGGCAAATGCTAGGCCCGTCTACAGCCAAGATTTGCCTCGTGTCTTCTGACGCGGGGATGGGTTGGAAGGGAACCCTTCGGACACCGAATCGGGCGAGAAGGCGAAGCCTTGAGCTTGGGGGCTTTGTGGAGCTCAGGATCTCGTTCAGGTCGCATGTTAGATATGAGCGCACCCCTTGTTTGAGCGCACCCCTTGTTTGTGGTTGTAAAGTGAAACCAAAAGAGAAAACCACTGTGTGTGTGTGTTTCTTGCTGAGGGGGGGGCTCCCATACATAAAACAAGACACACCCTTGTGGGAAATGATAGTAATGGAACCATTGTTGGCAGTTCGGCCTTGTTTTGAATTGAACGTGTTCACAAGACTGCTGTCAGCCAGCGGAGACCCATTTCAGGTTTGTTCTGGGGGGTGACTCCCCATGTTCTGTGCTTGCCATCGTTCTTTTCCAGAGCAGCCATTTCTCCTGGGTCTTAGGAGGTTCTTTGGACGGAAGGATCCCGAATGTTTGCAGGGAACTGTCTCCAAATTTGTATATGGACATCAATCGTATAAATAATGTCCAGCAAAGGCTCCTTAGCTGACAATCACACGCATTTTTGCAGGCGTAACACAACTGGGTCCCCCAGCCAGGTGCCAACTCTTACCAACTTTTTTGGTTGGGGGGGTTCCCCTACTAAAATAGACTACAGAAAAAGGGTACCCTTATTCTAACCTCTCTACTGGAGGACCTAGACAAAGGACCCCCGGAAGGGTCTGGATCTGCTTCGACGGCACGCGGCTTGGATGGTTTGGCTCGAGCCGAACGCAATTTCACTGGCCAAATCTCGGCCAAGCCTGCAGATGAGTTACACCTACCTTTGCCCTTCAGAGCAACAATAAGCAAGAAAAACACGTCCAAAGCCCGTCAACGCACCCCAGATTAGCCATGACCAAAAGATTTGCTTCAGCCGCCCTGGCAGGACAAGCACACAGAACACAGTGTGGAAACCGAAACCCCAGGGGTCCCTTCTTAAGAGGTCCCCACATAAAGCCTCTATTGAGTTTTAAGCATCGCCTTTTTGGCCCATGAGTTTGCCTCGGAGTGATGTTTGCAGGTAATTTAGGGAACCCTGTTCTTCTACCAGGGTCACTGGCTCCGGCTCGCCATGCGCGCTTTGGCTCCGGTTCGCCAACGTTTGCGGCTGACTTCGCCGAGTCTGCTTCGCCCGTGCCGATGCTTCGCAGACAAGCCGACGCTCAATGATCCGCCCAAGGCCGAAGTTTCTTGCCATGCGCAAGACGCACGCTCGCTTTACGTTGCCGGACTTTGCCAAACTTGGTTTCCTTTGAGTTGTTATTGTCCTTCTTCCCCCTCTCAACCAAGAAACATGTCCTTCATCGTCCCTTCCAAAGCAAAAGGCTGTCCTTTTTCAGCGGGGCCCACCAAAATCCAAAATTGCTTTACGGTATTCCTCTCGGTTTCCAATTTAGCCTCCCACCCATTCACATGGAACCTGACAAGGGATCTATTTGTTGAAAAGAACGTGGTCCTCCAGGACCCCGCGAACGTCAGGTTCCATGTTGATTAGCTAGGTCCCCAAGCCCTTCTCTACCCTTTTTTGGGGGAGGGTTCTCCTACTAAACTAGACTGCACAGAAAAGGGTCCCCTTATTCTAACCTCTCAATATACTGGAGGACCTTGAGGGCACCCAAAGGGGCTTCCCCAACAGCCCAGACCCAGCTTTCCAGCGGTGCGGTTCGGTAGGTGATGCGGCCTGGGGACATGGTGGACACGGCCACGGTGGTCAGGAGCTGTGGATTCCACCCGCTTCGCCTAAAGACGGGCTTGCCCTTGTTTGAGGCTACCCCTTTGGGGGGGGGGGGGGTGTTGGGATCGTGACTTGCTCTTTGCACACGGAAGTGAGATGTTAAGAAACGTACTGGGGCCGACTGAAAAATGGCTCCAGTTGTGATCCTCTATAGGCGCCGTGATTATCCTTCCCAAAGTCGGCCCGAAGCGGGGCTCCATGTTTTGTTTCCCTCCAGGGCTGGTTGCAATCAGATCACAAGCTGGGGCCCGATGAAGGCCGGGGTCCCGAAGTGCTGCGCCCAGGATTCCACGTGTCTAGAAAGGTTTCATCGAATTCTCCAAGAGGCGGCTTTCATCTTCGCATCACTGATCCTCCAAATGGTTCCAGTGGCTCATGTTGCCAGCAGTGAAGACTCTACACATCTTCCGGTGTTTTTTTGTTTGTTCTTCTTTTCCGGAGTATCCATGATTGAGCCAACCTCTGCAAATCGAATTGGCTGAAGGGTGTCCTTGAGTGTCCCGGAAGTCGGGACCCAAAGCGTCACTCTTCAACTGCGTCAGACTGGTCCCTTTTTCCCCAATCAAAGGGTTCCAACTCCGAAAGGCCTCAAAAGACTTGAACCCAATCGGTTTCCCTTTCAGGGCATCAATCACGTTTTGCGTCCGGGCAATCAAAAAGGGGCCCCCACCAAAAACCCGCGCGAGTCTTTTTCGGAGCTCCCTTTCACGGTGAAAGACGGGAAATCAAAAGCAACACAAGCTTTGGAGTCCGAATCCCTACTTTTGCATTGGATATCCCCAACCCAATACAACAGTCCCCCTGCTTTCACACCCCCACATGCCAAAACCCCAAAACCCCAAACTGCCCCAAACCGCCCCAAACCGCCCGAAGCGCCACCCAAACCGCCACCCAAACCGCCGCCCAAACCGCCACCCAAACCGCCACCCAAACCGCCCGAGTCTCAAGCGAGTCCGAGACTCAAGCGAGTCAAGGCGCCGAGTCCAGGAATTGGTGGTCCTTCCCGGCGGTGGGCTTCAACTCCATACTGGAGATCCCGGTCCACAAGTTCGAGGCGCGCGGCGATTCTTCCGCTTTGGACGATTCCGTGGCGCTGGGACGGGGTTTGAGGGAACTCGCAGGTTGCCAGCGAATCCTCGGGTTCCTGAGGTGTTGAGGTGTTTTTGGTTTTAGTGGGGCTTTGGTCCTCCATTTGAGGTGATTTGGGGCGGTTTCCTCCCTTTGAGGTGTTTTTTAGTCGGTTTAGTGGAGTTGTTTCCTCCGTTTGAGGTGGTTTTAGTCGGTTTAGTGGGTGTTTGTTCCTCCGTTTGAGGTGTTGTTAGTCGGTTTAATGGGTTTGCTTACGCCGTTTGAGGTGGTTTTAGTCGGTTTAGTGGTTTTGTTTTCCGCCGTTTGAGGTGTTTTTAGTCGGTTTAGTGTTTTTGTTTCTCCTTTGAGGTGTTTTTAGTTTTTTTAGTGAAGCGTTTTCCTCCTTTTGAAGGTTTTAGTTGGCTTAACTTGTGGTTTCCAACAAAAACCGCAAGTCAAAGTTTTATCAAGGGATCTGGGAACAGCCTGTTGAAGAGGATCGGGCGAAGCGCCAATTCCAATGAAATTCCTGTGGTGTTCCGAATGGACTGGATCTGATCCTGGACCTTCAAACGTAGCTGAAATTTATGTCTCCCCTGTCAATCGGCTGGTTTTTGGAGTTTGTACCATTTTTTCTTGGCTTGTCCTCTTTTTTGAACCTTGAGCGGTTTTTGGAGACATGCGGGTTGTCAGGTCCTAATATGACCTACTCGAGCAGAAATTGTGTGCAAAATCGCCCGCAACGGTCCGCAAAACGCGGGAAAAAACCCGCAAACCAGCGCAAATTCGAAAAGTGCTCAATTGAAAACAAAAACCTCGGGCACTTTCCCATTGCTCGGCAGAAATTGAAGAATCGGGCACAAACTGTGTGTTCGAGCAGAAACAAAGCGAACCAAAAAACAGGTATCAGTTGAAGGTCCAGGATAGTTCCAAACACATGTAATATATAGCGTCAGCCCCATTTACATAAATCCGAATTCATATTTGATTACCCTGTACCAAAAAACGGGAGCCCGGACCAACAAAAAACCCGAATGTGCCTGCTCATCAATCGATTCGGTTGAAGCCAGCTAAGTGTAACCATCGACAGTGCATGGCCTTTGCCCTACCTCCGGGCTTGTGAAGCAGGAGCTCAACATGGGAACCCTTGGGTTTGCATGGGGTCATGGCTCATCCCAGTGCTTCCGATCGGCGTGAATCGCCGCCATAGGTTTGCCCGATCTCTAGGTTTTACATGATGATTCCCCTAATGACCCAGGATTCATAAACCCGCCCCATTTTTCGGGGGGCGCTCCCTCCAGTCTGCTTCCCCACGAAAAAAGCCGTTTTTTTGGGCGGGTTCCGGGCCCATGAGCCCAGCTCGCGGCTCACGTCGCCTGGCGCCCCGCACATGTTCATACAGCAAATCAACGAAATCCGCTCGCACCACGTAGGAGCCATGGGTGAAACCACAACGTTTGTTGGTATTTTCATGGGAATCAGACCATTCTCCAGTGTCTTAGGTGGTGCGAATTGGATCTCGTCCATCCACGGTATGAGAACCTGGTCGCAGTTCCCGGCCGTATCCCAGCGCCTTGAGAAGGAGGTGTTCTCAGGCATTGTTGGGTCTCTTCCCACTAAGTGTTGATCGCTTTGAGTCAAGCTTTGAGTCAAGGAGCAATGAACCACTAAGCATTGCAAGCCACAAACAACTGGATTGCGAATGCTTTACGCCGAAAAGTCACGACGAAATGTGGTTTTATTTAGTACCCCACCCCACGCTAATTTGGGCACGCATAGGTGGATGGCCCTCTAGGGAAACGAAAAAGCAGCTTGGGACAGCAGGCATTCCAGACCGGTTAGTACTATCCCCAGCTTAGAAATGGACTTGGGAGAGGGAGGATCTAGACCTTTTTCTCTATGGGGAAGACTAAATCAATTTCAATAGGGTCCCGGACCGCTGAAGAGGTTCTCCACGGGGACGATTTGGCGCCCGTGGGCTCCGTGGTGGTTCCGAACAGCACCTCGGCTCCGTCGCCTCGAGTCGCGCTGCGCGCCGGTGGCAAGCCCGTGGGTTCTGCGGATGCCAAACAGATTTTGCAAGTAAGCCGGGCATATTCAACTGGCTGTGGCTCAAAAATGGAATTTGACAAAAGAAAGCACCTGGGGAACTGGAGCCAAAGACTAAAAGTTACAAGGGTAGAGTGTGGAGACGACTGAAAGCAAGTTACAGTAAATTGGAGGGGGTTCGATGCGCCAAGTTAGTAAGCTGTGGCGGTAACCGAGCTTGTTTTTTTTCCATGAATGTGGGGTGAACAACGTTGGTCAGGGGGTAAAACACCAACCAGGCGAACCACAGAACCACAGACTTGGCGAATCGGAGAGCCAAGCATGGGCATGGGATTTACCTCTTTTGCCACCTGCGGAGTTCTGCCGAGGATCGAGTCTGGCGGTTCAGGGGTCAATGGGCCAAGGATTTGCAGTCCAGGAAAGAAACCAACTCACTTCCGATCGAGTGGGTGGGCCAAACAAAAGTCGCCAGACTTTTTGTACCAGACTTTTTATTTCAGTCTCTTCCTGTTTGGTGCGTTCCACACCTTTGCAAGCCAAGGAAAGGGGGAGGTAGTTTTATCGCCGAACAACAACACCCAGTGGCACCGGTGAGGCATCTTCGGGCTGCCCATCCGAAAGGATATGATCTACAAGGTCTACTGGTTCCATCGCAGGAAGCTACAGGCGCGCTTTTTTCACGTGCGAGCCAGCGATGTTGGGTGAGTGTGTGCCTTCAGAAGGGAACTATTTTTAGCAAACCAGCCAGGAATCAGCTGGCCATTAATTATAACAGGGAACCACCTCAAAAGTGATTGGTGGACATGAATCTCCACCTAAACAAAGTCCACCAAAGGGTCCCTTATTAAAATTCATGGCCATCTGATTTTGGCACATACCGGCAGTTTCCGCTGGTGTGACATCCCGCTTGCAGGTCTTTCGCGTTGCCATCGCAAGACCCGTTTGTTCTCTCTCGAGGACTTGACCAGATATGTGGTTTTTTGTCAAAAGCTTGGACCTTGGTCAATCTGAAGAAGTGGGGAAAAAGATGGGATCCCCGGATTCTTTCGGGTCCCTGGCTTCTGATTAAAAAAATATCACGAGGCGACTCCGAAAATTCACACAGCAAGCGACCATGAAGCAGGGAACGTGGATGCAAATACCCGCATCCGTTGGGTGTCCCAATCATGGGCCAACTTCTATCCTGGGCCGGGAGAATGCTTCCCCAGTTGCACTGCAAGCCAATCCACCCAAGTGCGCCATGTTCAAGCACCAACCTTCTCGAGTCCCCTTGGGGCAACGCAACGGATTGCAAGCCTTCCATTTGCGTTTCAGAGCCCTGGAAATCCACGACTGTTTTTTAAACGTCCTTTGCACCTCGCCTGTTTTTTTGCAGCTAAAGCCTGTTTTTTGCGCCTGCAATGAGCCATGGCGTGGTATTTGATGGATTATTCATGCTGTGGCCACGTTTAGATTCTACAAAGCCTGTTCCACCCCAACATGTCTTTGACACAACAATTTTGGTGTGAACATAGCGGTCCGTGATGTACGCAAAAGTAGCGTGAAATCACCATGAAAATACCGTGAAATTGGCGTGAACGCCTGTTTTCCAGCGTGAAAGCACGTTTTCTGCCGTGATTTTTGACACCAGTGAATCTATGTGTTTCAGCCTGTCCTTTGGTAATCCCTCTGCTTGTTTTGTGGGAACGGAGGTCAAGTCTTTGCACACTTTGGTCCTGAGCACGTGCGGCCCCGAATTGTTCAATGATATCAGCTGAGCTTGGACAAAACTGCTCCTGGCAAAAAACCGCCTTTCACAGAAAACATGCAAAATAAACCGCCTTTGGTACCCCAGGGAGAGTATATGTTGTATTCTCCCCTTTTAGAGAGGGAGTCGATTTCACTAGCGGAAATAATTCGAATGTTTTTCCACGGGGCGAGAAGACAACTGGCAGAAGCCTGTGGCGAGTGGGTCTTCCCAACCACAAGAGGTGTTTCCATGTTCTCCATCTCGCATGCGCAGGGCTACTGCGACACCATGCAGATGTTCAAGTGGGCGCCTTTGAGATAAGAGACAGCAAGCTCACCTGGGGATGGTTCACCAATTACAGCAGGTCCTTTTGGGGGGGTTCCTAATTTCACAGAAGCAAATTCATGATGTGTTTTGTAATATCATGATGTAAGGTCCTCTAAATGATGTTTGTTTTTTTGTAATTTTGCAGAACAATTGAAGCCCAGGAGTAATCAGTTCCTGGTGTATTTTTGTCGGTCATAGAGAACTCCTTGAAGGTTCCCCCCCAACACACTCCAGGCTTCCCAGATCCGGACATAACCGTTAACCTCCCACAGTGTCACCCAACTTGGCGGTTCCCAGCGAATCGTGCGGTTCCTGACGGGTTTGTCAGGTTTTTAGTTGGTTTAGTTGGGGGTTCACCATTTCACCCACATGTTCAATGTTGGCAGGGGATCAGAAAACGGACAGCCTTCTCCGACCTCAGGACGTCGCCGTTTGGACCCCTAGCAAAAGGGAAGGTGTTTCTTGGCGGTGTTCAAGTTGGCTTGCGGCACCAAAAAGCAAGCGAGATGTGTTGGGCTCCGATGTTGGGCACAACAGAGGACCGAGGAAGAAGGAAGATTTGTCTACAGAACCCGGGTTGATCTATCTTGGTTTCGAAGAAGTCCCTCAATTAGGACTCCTTTGGTTCTCCTCACATTTTTTGTTTGTTTCATGATCGCTTTGATGTTGGGATTCTATCTTCGCCCTATCTTCGCCACCCGTAGATTTCGCTGAAGAAGCCCGGCCGGAAGTCCTTTGTTTTCGACCTTGTTGGGACGAATGGCCCCTTCCTGGTTCGGTCCGTCGTTGCGGAAGGCATCCTTGGGCTTGCTTCCCAAAAGCGGGGTTCCGATTCCACGCGCCCTGGCCTCAAAACTGGGGGTCCCATAGATGAATCCATCAAGTCCGTTTCCGAGCCGAAGCTCGGAACCTAAAGCCCCTTATTTGCTTGGTCGGATGTGCCATGTTTGAGAGACATCCCCGGAATTGTCCATGTGTGTTTGATACATGTGCATTCCCATATTTCCCCATTGGGGCACACCTCCATTTTCCAGTTTTGAAGCTACGTTCCTTCATTCCTTCCCATTCCACATCTTTATTCCAGCAGTTGTTCCAGTCTTGCAGCCACCACTTCATTCATTGATTCCCACGTGTTCATTCCAGCAAACCGCCTTCTTTAGACAATTTCATTCCTTCCCACTACACATGTTCATCCCACCAAACCTCCAGCTTGAGACAAAAAAAATCATTCCCATCCCAAATCTTCAGCCTTTTTTCCCTTTTTTCCGCCGCATCTTCATCCCCTCCGATTTTCGACCCGCACCACACCTCCATTTATTTTGACCAACAAAATTGGAACCCCTTCCACCTCAAAACCAAAATCCCAGCCAGAAATCCTCTTCCCTCTTCCTTCCCAATCCGATTTCTTAGGAGTGGCCGAAGCCCAACAAGAAGGTCCGGTCCCAGAAGAAGTCGGGCAAGAGCCGCATGGGCCGGCGCACGGCGCCGGGCCGCTTCGAGGGCTCCCACACCCACGCGCTGAGACCCAGGGACTGGGGCAAGACGTGCCCGGGACCCGAAAAACGCGAGCCGCGAGTCGCGAGTGGAGCGAGCCCGGGCAAGCTACTCTGGTGACAGGGGGGGGTGGTTTTTTGTTTTTCCCGTTTTTTTTTTTTTTTGGGGGGGGGTGCTTTTCAGGTGAACTTTATTTTTGTCCTGATGGTAGTTGAAAGGGTGGGTTTGATTGGATTCGGCTCACTTCACTGAGTTCCGTTTCGGACTTCGAACACTTGGTGGGTGGGTGTTTTGACCATTTGGAGGTGGCTTTCGAGATGTTGGAAACTGGTTTGGACCATGGGCCATGGCAGTCTTGAGGATTTCGTCCCGTTCAGTCGACTCCCAGGCCTTTGGAGAAGCATTCGCCAGGTTTGATCTAGATGGTTTTTTGCCAGAGTGGGGTGATTCCCAAAGGGTGTTGACCCTGCTCTTGACTTCCGGAGTTCCGTTTCGGACTTTCAAGACTTGGTGTTGTTGTGTTTTTGCTATTTTTGGTGGCTTTCAAAATGTTGTGGACTGGGTTTGGACCGTCAACTCAGGAAGTGAGACTGCCAGATCCCAGGCAAGCTACTAGAGCTGACCAACGATGTTCCTGTTGCTTGAAAGGGTGGTGCCATATATACCGAAACACTGGGACAAGGGCGCGTTCATTTGAAAATCGAGCACCAAGAAATGAACGCTTTGAGACATGGATGTGTCTTGCTTGAGGGAACCCCCAGTTTGGTTGGTTTCAAGGACAACCCAAAAAGGAACGCAAAGGACCATTTTGGGGTCCCTGCAAAAGGACACACCCATAAAGTTCCTCCTCAAGTTCTGTTTCGCACTTTAGTCACTACCGTTTAAGCGGCAAACAAAAGAGCTTGGATTTTGGTGGCCAACCCACTCCAGAAGTTAGTGAGTCTTAGTTTATAGATTCGACTGGGGGGACCATAAAACCCAATGACGTCGGGTGTGATTGTTGTTCCCCCGGAGAGTGCCGATCGTTTGGATCTCAAGCCCAAAGGGTCCCTTGGTACCTAAGGAGGTACTGAACGACCCCTTTGTACCCACCAAAAGCCATCATGAGGTACCAAGGGACCCTCTGAGAATTTTCGAACGGGAGGAATGGCCTGTTTCAAGCTTTGTGATTGCCATCCCTAGACGTCCCCCGCAAACCCTTGTGATTCCCTAAGCAGGAGGCAAGATAAGCCCGGTATGCCCAGCCACGAAGGAACCCATCCCTCCCCAACCCTCAAGCTTTGTGCTGGGAAGAAAGTGGCTGTGAAAGCGAAGCTGAAAGTGGGAAGCAAGGGATCCATTGCAAGAAGTTCTTCTGTTGGTTTTTGTGGGTCCCTTCAAGTGGTTGAACTTGGTGGGGCATGCATTTTTTCCTGGGCTTGTTTCTATCACGTTTCCCTTTGAACCACCATGTCGAGCGAGCTCATGGGCCAACTGAATATCGATCCATTTTCTTTAGGGGTGATGCCTAGTTGCAACCAGTGGGTCCAGGCCTCTGCAGCTTGTTTGGACTTGTTCAACTCAAACATTTTTCCTCGTTCAGTTCATTCTTGTTTGGCGGTCCGTTCCTCAATTTTTTGTGGGTTCCACCCGTTGCGTGTTTGCCTCGCGTTTCTCCTCCAATGCTTGGTTTCAATCAAGCACGAGTGGGAGGCCCAGTTGCAGAGCACTTCATGTTTTCACAACACAGAGCCACCAACCAACAAAAAACATATATGATTGGTTCCCCCATGCACTCGCAACCGTGGATCGCTTTCTCATTGGAGGGTTCCCTTGGCAATCAGCCAACAACTTTATCATTTATCCTTTGTCCTTCTGTGTCTTTTGGTTCGTCTTTGGGTGTCCTCCTTTGCTCTCCTTTGTCCATTGAGATAGTCTTGTGTTTTGCTTTTTTTCCGGGTGCGTTCCAGCGCGAAAGTTGTTACATGTACCGAAAGGAACCAAAGGGGGCTGAAGATGTGTAAAATGACCACCGTTTTTTGTTTTCGTCCGCTCACAATCATGTGAGCCACTTGCTCAAAACCAATTTGGGTAGATGAAGGTTAGGGGATACTCCCAACCATAAATAGCTGCCGCCCTACTAAGTCTTTACATGGGGATCGACCATTTTAATACCGGGTTTCGATTATGACTCATGTAAGTGCCGGGGGCCCTTCCACGAGCTGTTGTTTGTCAAAACTGGTCTGTGCACTTCCATGTGTCTCTTAGGATGCCATTCTTGGGAACCCAGAAGGGAACCAAGCAATTTTGCAGGTTTTCTCACTTGAAGGGGCACGTGCCAGCATATGGGGGGCCGAGAATAAAAGGGTGAACCCCTCCCCTGCTCAACATGGAACCCATGAAGAAAATGTCTCCCTTTGGGCCACCCACTGGCCAGTTCTGGATCCCAAGCCATGCAGCAAGAGGTTAAAGCAACTAGGTCCCCCAGTAGTGCCCTTTTTCCCTTTTTTGGGGGAGGGTTCCCCTACTAAAATAGACTACAGAAAAAACGGGTACTCTTATTCTAACCTCTCTACTGTAGGACCTAGGCAAACGTCCACAAGCGGTTTCCAGAATTTCCAGGGGGGGTCTGTCCCGATTTCAGGCGCTGCCCCACCCGGATCATCTGGCAGGCCGTGAAGTGTATGCTCTCGGCGCCTCGGAGCTGTCTGTACTGTCTGTGGGACGGTGAGTTGGTATTTCCCCCATGTCGAGTTGGTCCGCAACCGGAATTCACAGTCCACCCAAAGTTGTGTTTATCGTAGACTAAACGAAATCTGGATGTGTCTTAAAGTCAACAAACGAAATGGGCGGACTTTTCTTGGAAGTGACTTGTGAGCTACCTAAACAAAGGGCAGCCCTCAGAAAAGACACTGCCACATGCACCAGAATCTTGCGTATGTGTTGTGCACCCCTTTGTTTCTGACCAGACTTAGCTTGCTGGTTTCGTGTGTCCTTTTTAGGTTGTGGCGGGGGTGAAAGCTTTGAATTTGAAAAGGGGCCTGCAACTTTGAGAAGTCCGAAACGCACATTTCCGCAGAAGCAAATCAAGGATTCCCCGCGGAGCTTTCTGCTCTTTTGCCTTTGGCCTCGCTTCTTCCGCGCCCTTTGCTTGTCGTGGAGCCTCCTTTCATTCCCACGCCTTCGGGAAATCCCGAAGGCTTTCTGGAGTGCTGGCCAACCCCGGTTTGACCATACAACCATTACAATCAACATGACCGGGGAAGTACATTGGAAACAGGTAGAATGATCGCAGGTTTCATGCATTGATTTTTCGGACCTTGACCAATCCGCCCCCAAACCTCTTGGAGTCAAAATGCCCATGTCTTTCGCGCCCAACACAACAAATCCGGGCCCCAGAGGGTCCCTTGGTACCTCATGAGGATGGCTTTTGGGGGGTACAAAGGGGTCTCAGCACCGCCTTAGAAGGTACCAAGTCACGTCGAGCGTATATCTCGAGGTGAAGTTCGCGCAGAACTCCATCAAGGTGGTGGACAGCTTCAACCTGCAGTCCCACAAGACCAAGCACCTGGTGCAGCACCTGCGCCGCCTGCTAGGCCGGAAATGCGCCTTGGAACCATGGACATGGAAAAAGGACAAAAGCGAAGCTCATTTGCGGAGGTTGATGGTGTTTCTCGTGCGTTTTAGTGATTTATTTGTTGGTTTCTTGGAGGGCGCACCTCCCAGTCGTGCTCCACCAATTTGGAGGGTCTGCTCCTTGGTGTAGGGGTAATAGTGTACCTGTTAAAACCCAGACTCTTGGCTACATACCTAGCTCTACATATTCCTCCTTGGAGGCATTGAACCCCCCCATTTGTTGGCTAATTTTGGATGTGTCGCCCAAGCTGGTTTTCACCCTGTAGTGCGATTGTGTTTTTCAGACGAAAGAGTATACGAGTGGAAAGTTGCAGTGAATCAAGCATGCTCCCTCCTGTCGCCCCTCACATTGCTGGAAAGATGTGACGCAGTGCACGATAGGGGAAAGCATCATGTAACTCCTGGAGGTAAGGATCCCTGGTTACCCACTATAGTGGTAACTGGAAGCATTGGGTAAAGAACGCTGCTGGTTTTGGATCCGGGGACCTGGTTCGTTGAGCCTGTTGTCATATTCGGGCTTCTCGCAGGAAACCCAACAAAAATCAACACTTTGGGTGTCTTTTGCGGAATACCCCTTTGTGGAGGACGACTTGACCAAAATCCATGGTCCCCCCAAAAAAACGTTTTTTTGTGCTTTGGGACTGGTGTCCCTCGGGATTGAGTGCCACTCACGTGCTCAAACCGAAACTTGAGCAAACCGGAATGGTTGTTTTATTGAATTTGGGGGACCGTCTTTCCTTATTTGGATTGGAGTTTATTCATATGAATAAACGAGATCGAACTTGACAACGGTTGAGAGACTGGAAGCGAGCTTGTTCCCAAACTCGGAACTTGAAACTCGAAAGAGGGAGCTCGAAACCAAACCTAAAACCAAGCCCGAACCACCCCGAAACCAAGCTTTCATCCAACCTTTACACTTCTAGACCAACCCTGAATCAACCTAACCCAACCTTGACACTCATGTAATTGTGGACCATTGCTCATCTGCCTGGGGGCGGGGGGCTTCTGTGTGAGGATCGCCTTGTCAGGGCGAAAGATTCCAAAGAAATGCGCAAAAAAACTGACTGTTGTATTCAAAAAAAAGCTCTACCCGATCAAGACTCCAAACTCGAAACTCGAAACTTGAATGTCATCGTCAAGTGCGTCCTGATTTAAAGGGTATGTTTAGGGTCCCTTACCGGTTTGTTACTAAGTTCTCAAAAAATGGCTTTTGGGGTGGTGTCCATTGAAACCCCAAACACTTGCAGGCTGTTGCGGGTGTCACTGCAGCGAGCCCAGCAAGGGTAAATGAATCACCGAATTCTGATGTCCATTTCGGGCTGATTGCTAACAACGCGTATGGCCCTGTCATTTTTTGGGGAACCCCTCCATAGATTTTCAGTTTCCCCTTAGAACCCAACCAACCGAAAACCGGGCACCTCCAAAAAAACGGGCTACCTATTTGGTTTCGTCTCCAAAATTCGAAACAAAGACGGGCTCCCCACGTCCAGCCATGTTCAAAATCCTCCACCGAGCTCCCCATACCCAGAGGGTCCCTTGCTACCTTCTAAGAAGGTACTGAACGACCCCTTTTTACCCCGCAAAAGCCATCCTCATGAGGTACCAAGGGACCCTCTGGGATATCTGTTGGCCTCCAAAAAGGCCCACTGCAGCTCCCCACGACGGGCTCAGGTCACAGCGCGCTGCTGATCCACGAGGGCCACCTGGACATCAACGACAACTGCCGCTGGGCCTCCGCCCACATCCCGGCCATCCGCCGGGAGAACGTGGAGGGCGTGAGCGTCTACAACCTCTTGAAGTACCACGAGGCCCGGGACCCCACGGGTGGCGCAAACGGGGCAAAAAAACGGAATGAACCCTGGGGTTCTTCAACTGCCCCCCGTTTCAAAACGGGCAACAACTGAATGCCAGGGTTCCTTGAAGCCATGAACGTCAAGGACCCAGGGCGGATGATGAAAGTCTTTTGCTAAAAATAATGTGGGTTATATTAATTAACCCCCCTTTGATTTGATGGTGGCTTGAACCCCAGGGTGAGAGGAACGAGTCCACTCCCTGAGCTCTTTTCGGACTGTCATTTTTTTGGCGACCATTTTGATAAATGAACAGTTCGGGTATTTTTACCAACCACCGGAAGTGAGGTGTGAAAAGGTGTCAGAAAATGGCCTTCCACAAATTCCCGTGCCGAAAGAGTTGGATTCAAGGGGGCTACGCTCGCAACTCATCGACCAGTGGTGCCCTATGTTTCCTTTTCGGAGAGTGGTTCCATGAACTGCCACAAGGATGCCAGACTTTCTCATAGCCACATGAGGTTCCTTGGTGGGTCCCGGAATATTTCAACTAAGGTTATTCAAAGGCACAAAACTAAAGCTTAGAACCGCCTTTTAGGCGCTAGAATGGAAGCTGTTTCTGTTGAGGTGTGGTGCTTTTTTGTATGGTTGCTTTAAAAGGGAAGCAAAAGGACAAGCCCATCTTGGAGTTCCCCCACTTGGAAACAACACCATGTCTCTCCTGAGAAGAAACGTCGACCAAGTACGCCCTGGGTGGTACCCCATGGTACCCCCGTGCCATTTCGTCCGACAATGAATCTCCTTTTGGCAGACCCCTTTCCGGCGTGTGAATTTGCGGCTACGTGTCGATGTTGTCCCCAGTTAATCTGGTATTTGATCCGAGTCACTGGCAGCCAAATCTGGGTACTGTTGAACCTAGTTTCACTTTAATTTGAAGCCCGAAGGACAACCACCATTTGATGGCTTCCCCCTATATTTATTACAACACCCGTCCGAGCAAGGCCGGGGCCCTCAAGTGGACCGAAAAAAAGGACCCTCCGAAAGGGGTCAAAGGATGACCACCAGCTTGGGGTATTCTTGTTAGGTTACATGTTTGTTTTAGATCTATTCTTAGACCTATGTTTTACACCTATGTAAACATTCCTTTTTTTTGAATTGTCTTACACCATTGGTTGACGCTTATTGGGATCCCACGTTAAAAGATCCCATCTTTCAGGTGGTGATCACTGAGATGGCCCTGGCGAAGCTCATCAAAGAGATCCAGGTGGGACGCATCCAAACCAAGATCTTTTCGTCTTAGAAGAGGATCAATGTGCCCACCAAAAGGCGTTGTGTGTGTTTTTCTTCTTTGCTTGGTTTCCCTCCACTAGGACCCACCAAATGCATTGTGTGTTGTTTCCCGTTGGTGTCCGATTTCAACCAAGCAGAACAAGAAATGCGCCGAGGCTCATACAACAAGACAACCCTTTTTGAAATAAGTCTACTGTGCATGTGTGCAACAAAAATGATGCCCCAAACTAAAGGTCCGTCCCAGTTTCATTTATTGACCGGGTATGTGGCTGCCCATCACTTCACATCTCTAAATAAGTGCTTGGTTGCCCCCTTGGTTTGAGCTCCTTCGTGGAAAGATTGAACCTGTGCGGGAAAAATGTGGTCGTCCAACACCTTGGTTGCCCTTCACATCTTGCCTGGATACCCTTTGCGGAGCATCACCATGCCGCAAAAATGCAAAAAAAAAAAAAAACAAGGGCTTGTTGCAGAGAGTCTGCTTCACAGAGTCTGCTCCACTAGCTGGGGATGAGTCTCGTCGCAAGTCCAAGGAGGATGTCTGATCAATCCCCTCGAGGATGGCCCGGAGGGAGTGTGTGTGTGTGTGGCATAGGCAACTTTAAACATTCCAAGCTGGTGTTTCAAGAAATGAGATTCCCAGAGTTGATCCAACAATGCACTGGGCTCAACCAGAGTCATGTTTCAATGGGCTCAACACGAAGAAATATCGTTGACTGCCAGCCCACAGGGTCCAAGTACCTCATGAGGATGGCTTTTGGTGGGTGATAAAGGGGTTGTTCAGTACCTCCTTAGGTACCAAGGGACCCTCTGGGCAGGCTTTGGGTAAAATCATCGGTGTCCCCTTTCACGGGCCCAGGGAAGTCCACCAAAGCCTTCACACGGATCAAGCCTACCATCGGCACTGGAAAATGGGGCGCCAGGAACGGAACTTGTTAAATTGAAAAAGTCAAGAAAATGACCCTCCCGTAGTCTCGATGTGGGGCTTTCTATGCAATCAAGGCAAAGGTCTTCCCTCGGTGGCTCATGGTAGACTTGGTCGACACCCAAACCCGAAGGCCTACAGGTTCTCATCGACTCTGGTCCCCATTCGGACCTTGGCCATATTTGCGGGTCAACCCACCCCACCAACTACTGGCTGTCGATGAACCCGAGGTCTACCCGCGGAAGATGAATTGGTGTCAGAAGTTCGCCACCCCCGACGGCAAGATCGCCCCGGCGCCCCAGAAGGTCGAGGGCTGGAACCGCGCCTGGGTGGAGAAGCGCCTCGGCCGGGAAAGCGATGAAACGAAGGGCTTCGGTTTCGGGCTTCGGTCGCTTGGGGGGGTGGGGTTTTGGTCCTTAAATTAAAGACGAGGTTCTACGTTTTCCCAAGGGAGGGTGGTTTGGAAGGTTGCGGGGGTGGGTTTTGCGCATTAAAGACAAGGTTCCTTTACGTTTCCCAAGGAAGGGTGTTTGAAAGGTCGACGAGCTTGTTCGTCGTGCTGTTCAAATAAGGGAAGCCCAACAAGGACGGTTCTCCATTTGGTCCCAATTGAGAAGGGTTCCGAGCCTCCAAAAAGTCGACCAATAAAGAAGCCCATTCGATGTTCTCAAAAGAACCAAAGGGGGATGGGTATTTATTTTGTTTCCGTTTTTTCCCCAAAGCAACCCGCCTCCCCCCCTCAAAAAAAGAAGAAGAAAAGAAACAAACCACAAAGGGTATGTTTGTCCCCCGTCCCCTCCTCGGCTGTTTTTCCCCGGAATGACTCCACCGGGCTCGGATTCATCAGGAAGGAGCAGATCCGGCGCTCGGAGTTCCGGGCCCGGGAGTTCTTCAGGGCGTCGCTGCCGCCCGGAGAGAAAGCTTCGAGGGGGACGACTTTGGGGGGGTTGTTTGGGTATGGGAGTGGGAGTGGTGGTGGGAGTGGGTAGTGGGGGGTTGGGGAGTTGGGGAGTTGGGGAGTTGGGGGGTTGGGGGTTGGGGGTTGGGGGTTGGGGGTTGGGGGTTGGGGGTTGGGGGTTGGGGGTTGGGGGTTGGGGGTTGGGGGTTGGGGGTTGGGGGTTGGGGGTTGGGGGTTGGGGGTTGGGGGTGGGTTGGGGGTGGGAGTGGTGGGAATTGGGGGGCGAAGGGTTAGAGGTGGACGACCTTGAGCTTGGTGTTTGGACAAAGCTCCCTTGAAATACCTGCAGATTAAAATGGAACACGAATAACTATCAGAGGAACCTTTGGGGACTGTTTTGGGTTCCATAGAGGACCTGTAAAGGTCTTAGCAAATCCTTGATGCCAATAGTTCATGCGACCCAAGTGCAGCCAGCGGTATGCTTTTTACGACTACTTTGATGGACAAGTGAATGAATGCCTCCAAGGTTGTGTTATATTAAATATGACTTTTGGTGAGGGCCGAGAGATGAGTTTGAGAGTCGTCTGAAGCCATACTCGAGACGTGGCAACGGCGTTTGGGGCACAGGTTCCTTTGGGGGTTTCCTGTGAATGGTATGTGTCTTCGTGTTTGTTCCCTCCATTTGACCAAGCTACCTCGGTTCAACTAAATCCAAATGAATGAAAGTTAAGGGAGATTCCCGGCCAAGGCAGGGATATCCGCCCTGTTGCTTCGTGTTTTGGGCATGCCCCCAATGCCTGGTGTTTGATACAGGGTTTGGTTGCAGGAGAATGTCAGAAATTCGATATTTCTTTGGGGCAAACCTGTTTTCCTGATTCTCCAACCCAACCCTTCTGATTCGAAAAGAGGATTCCTCATAGTTCCTCAATGGGGTGATGCTCAGGGACATAGACTAGAGGGCGCGAGGAAGCAAATGATATTTGCCCTGGTTCGTTCCTTCCTTTTCCCGTGTTTGGGGGGTTGATTCTCCTTGTTTTTGGTTCACCTTTTCCCCACCATCTTCCATTAACACTAGCAATGGGTCTCGGTTTGGGTCAGCTTCTGTTTCCGTTACAACACGATGTTACGGGTTATCACAGGTTTATGGTTGGCTGGTGTTTTGCTTGTTTTCCGGGGTTGGCTTTTCCTTTGTGCAGTCCAAATCAATGAATTCCCAAAAATCCCTCTGAGGCTGCGAGCTTAGGTTCCTCCAAGTTTCCGGGTTCCGGGTGAAACGAGCCGCGCAGCGCGGAAACAGGAGACCTACCTGCGGCGAATCAGGTAGCCCTCTGGTCTGCTTGTGTTTGGTTGCAGTCTGAAGTCCCTATGATTCTTGGAGGCCCTCTCATGGGGTCAAATGAGAACAGGATTCCCTCAGATTGTCAACCTTTGAACACTTCACCAAAAGAGACTCCCTACTGGAGAAATTGAGAAAAAATAGAAAAACATTTGGTGCCAGGGTCGGGCACAATTAGAGAAACAACTCAAAAGAGGTGCCACCCCAAAACGTCAACGGACCATCCGTTGAGAACCCCCGTGTTACTTGGATCCCGTCTGAAGCCCATTTTGTTACTCACTCAAGCCTACCTTCGTCTCCACCTCAACAAAGCCCAACTGAAGCCCACTGTTTACCCACTCCAAAACTTTCCCGCTGTCTCGCCCTTTCCCCACGTACCCCCTTTTGGTCCAATGGGTTTTTTCCACCTCTTCCCCACGTCTTCGCCTCCCCCAAACCCCCCGGCAAAGCTTTGCCGCTCAGGAAGTGGAAGTGGTCCTCGGACCTCAAGGGCCCGCTGAAGATTCCCCAGCGCGACACCCTGGCGCACTTCCGGGTCAAGGACCTCCAATCCATCGAGTTCGCGGCGCGTCGATGCGCGCGGATTTGCGCGCCGAAACCAAAACTCGGCGAGGGAAGAGCCAGCTGGAGCCGGGTGCGGATGGCAGAGATCAATGGGATGGGAAGTGTGGCATGGCGTTTTGGGACATCAAAATGCGGTGGAGATTCATGTCCAACCGCTTTTGAGGTGGTTCCTTTTTACAATTCTGAACCAAGTCTGAAATGCTAAAAGCCAAACTTGATCCAGCAGGGGACAAAATGCACAAAGCAACATGCGGGAACAAAACGCTCTGCTCCGCGAGGCACAAGATGAACTATGTCTTTTGAGCTGGCATCCCTTTTGAGGTATGCTATACCCCTTTGAACACCTTCCAAGCTAATATGGAGCCTGAAAGAGTTGCGTTTGAAAAATAGCCTCGTTCTTAGGGATTCAGGAGCAAATTGACTTTGGCACAACAAGTCGCTGTCAGTCAAAGCGCGCGGATTTCGCGCGGGTTTTCGGATTTCGCTGCTTCCGGAAGCTTGCTGTTCTTGATCAAAGCCACGGCATGTTCAGTCGACCAGTCGATAGGACATCCTGCTCAACCCAGAGAGGCCCCAGTGGGAGAAGCTTGAGAGCCTCTACAACGATGAGGAGGACTCGCATCGGTTGCAGTGTTCGCGTTTGGTTTGTGTCACTTCTTGGGTTCATGGGCTTTATCTTGTTGGGAAAGGCCTTTTTGGTGGAAAATACTTTGGCTAATCCACTCAGGAAGTGAGTTGTTTGTTTTGTTGTCTTGCGTGCTTTTTGTTTGCCCTGTGTGCGTGTTGTTGTTTTTGTGTTTGGACATGTTGCTGGTTGCTTAGAGTCTGGCCACCTTAGCGGATTTACACTTTATTCTCAATCCAGCCCCCATGGAAAATGGGGTATTTAACCCTCGATGTAGCAGCTAAGAATCAGCACGGTCGACAACCAACCGGTGCGGGTTCCGGGGTGGAGCCCTCCGTCTCAGAGCCCGTGTCAATCTGGTCAAGACCGGCTTGACGCAGAGCAGCAAGGGCTTCCGCCACCTCATCAGGGGCAAATCTACTTCCATGGGTCAGCAGACGACACCACTCCTCTGTTTTTTTCTTTCTTTCGCAGGCGGACACCTCGAAAAAGACGCGGAAGGAGAAGTAGCTAAGAATCATAAGACTCGTCTTTCGCACTTGATCATTTTCCTTGATGGAAGATAGATTCCTGGGCTCAGGACTGAATGACTCTTCGGTTGTGCCGCCCTTCCCCTAAGACTGTGTGTCAGCATCATGTTTGGGAACCACATGCATCGTATGTTTTTTGTTATTTATTTGTTAAAACAAAAAAGACATGTTTGTTTCTTTTTCGGTACCCCTGACGGGCCCATGTAGAACCCGTCTCGGATCCTCATGACCATTTGCCCCACAAACCACATGGGGATGTGCCACAAAAATGGCGGCGACCGCCCTCAAGACATAGCTCCATACATTTTTCGGGGGGAAGGGACCTTCGACTTGGGATCCCCTGTCGGTTTCCGAAAGGAAACGCACCCTCGATGTGTTTTCCAGGAGCTGGATGAGCCGGAGGACGAGGAGTACGAGGCCGGGGAAGATCTGTCAAAGTGCGGGGTCACTAGGGACAAATGAGGCGCGGAAGCGAGGGTGATGGTTGGACAGGAACTGTTCAATGTAACTCCAAGAACTCTTCAATCTGTCTTTTGAGGATACTGCGGACACCCTTAGAAAGGAATCTTCGTCATGGGAAGTTCAGGGTAATTATGCTCAAAAGGTATGTTGGAGGGTTCTTGGAGTATTGAAATTGCATTTTGTTGTTGTTTCTGGCCCAATCTCTGCAACCTTTAAATGGGATCCCCCACAACAGACTAGCTCACGCACGATGAAGGTTCCCGCACGTTGGGGGGATTCCTTTTTTGTTGTTTGTTTTTTTTAGGAATTTGCCTGGAGGCTTTGGGAATCCCAAAATGTCGTTTGGGCGTTCCTTCGTCATATTCCTCGTTCGGGGTGTTCTCCGGTGTTGGCGCATGGAAATGGAATTCAGAGAGAGAGCTCCATGCAACATGAGGGCTTCATATCTCCGCAAAGAAGGAAACAAAGCAAACACATAGGAACCTACTTCCAGGGGCCCCAAAAAGCCCAACCACTACCAGGGGCTCGATGGGAGATTCTACCATATAGAGTATACCCCGTTTTGCCCTGGGGTGTAGTGGCTGGGGGCCGGGGACCATCTGACTCGGCAAGTTATGTAGAGCTCAACGATTCGGGGTTAAAACGAGCCCATGATGAAGGGCCCTCCACTTGGGTTCCTTCTTTCTAGTTTGGGAATCAGTTTGCAATTTCTGGAGTGGCAAACCCCAAAATGGGCTTAAGGGTTTTCCTTCGGTACTTCCTCTTGTTTACATCACCTTTCGGGCCAGTTCGAAGTGAAGATCTCCCGAATCTCGCGCCAGGAGCTGCTGAGCAACTTGGACGCCCTGCGGCGGCCTACCAATCAGCTCATCGATGACCCCTCGGAGGCAGGGATTGGTGCAGGCAGTCACAACACGGGTCGATCTTCATTGCCGGGTTTTTGCTACGGGATTGCAGGCAACAAAAAAGAACGGATCGATTGTAGGAAATGTTGCTTGCAACCGGAGGTTTCGGGACCAATGACAGCCAGAGGTTAGGAGATAGTTCCGCCCCCTTCATTCTACATGGGTCAGGCGTTTTAATGCCATTTGATTGCGACCCATAGATGTAAACCCAGAGGGTCCCCCTTGCGATTTTCACCCCCTAGGGTCAAGGAACAGTGGTTTGTCTCAAACAGGAAATCCAACCCCGGAAGTGGTGGGTTCCCTTAAATGTACCTTTCAGCCAGCCTCGAAAAGGGGTACCTCAGAACGCACACCCAACATGATTGGCTTCGGGCGCTGCTCATATGACTGGCTGAAAACACTTCTATTAGATGAAGGTTAGTGAGGGATAATCCCCATCAAAGACTCATGCTATGGAAGGTCAGGCATCCATCGGATTAGGAACTCCCAGTGAAGTTGGGATTTAGAATTGCGAATCATGAGAGACGAGTCAACAGAATGTCTTCAAAGAAACCACCCAGAATTAGCCCACCTTTCCCCAATATAAAACCCCCACGTCCCCCCAAAATCCAATAAGCCCCTCCCCTTCCAAAGAAAAGCCGAAAAGGTATGGGGTGCCCCTACTTGCCGGGTCCCGGGTACCCATTCCCGCCTCCCCGCGTCTACTCCCAGGTGACCAAGAAGGGCCTGCGACAGCTGGAAGCCTCCCTGGAGGGTGGCGCCGCTGGATGGGGCAACCGCTCCTGAGGGGAGAAAAGATGAAAAAAGGCTGCGACTGTCAAGGGTTACGGGACACACAAGTGATGCCTGGAAAGGGACATCGAAAGAACCTTCAGCTCTTTTTGGGGCCCATGGCCAAAGCTTCGACGGCCGGTCACAGGGTCCAAGGAGAAATGGGTCCGTCTTGGAGGGAAACATGGCCGTTAGCTGCGACTGGTTGTCACAGGGCCTGTCTCCATGGAGGGTACCCCTTGCTTTGACAGTTTAAAGGAAGCTCACAGGGGCAAAAACGCACAGTTTTGGGGGGTGTCCAATATATGGAAGGAACGCATAACACGCCCACTCATTGTTAGGATATTGTGTTTAGGATCGAGAACTTCTTTTGGGAAACTATGGTCACGTGGACCGAAGCTGTTTTGGGGGCACCCTAATTTAACACATACCCAAGTAGGTGTGTTTGTTGTGTGAGGGACCCCCCAAAGAATGCGGTCGCAGCAGTTGGGGGTATTGCAATCAACCACTGAATTGTGAATGGTGTCTTCAAAATGGGGTCCTCACTTCCTGAGTAAACCACCCTACAAATTTTAGCCCCCGAACAAGACGCCCACACACACACACATATCCGTGCGGCAGATGTCCTCACTTCCCGAGTTCCTGGACTTTAAACTTTTTGGGAAGACCATTTAAGTGGTACATCAAAAGTTTGGACTGTTTTGCCCCATCAACTCAATATCTGGACTGCCAACTATTCGGTGTTCCGCGGTTTCAGGAGCCAGATGCCAACGATTCAAAGGGGGACAACAGGTTGTGGTGTTGAAACCCCAAGAGGTTGTGGTTTCCACAAAAGGTGGTTATTCCCTAAGGCCAAGTCAAACATGTTTTTTGCTGGGATCGGTCAAAACATGGCCCATTCCGCAATTCCGCATCCATTTGGCAGTTTCAGTAGCTTAGGTCTGAACCCATGGGTGTGTGTCGAGTTGTCCCATGTCCATGTTGGAGACCGCTCAGATGGAACACCCAACAGATCGGGCTTCAGCTTTCTTTTGTTTTGTTGTTGTTGTTTGGCGCAGATAGCAAAAGGAGCACCCTAAAACAACACCCATGAAAAGGAACCCCCTACGCACCCCGATGGGTGAATCAAGCAGATGCGGTTTTATGCTAGAGCCAAGTCTGCATGAGTCCCATGGCATATTGAAGCCATCGACCTCACCTTCTTCTGGATTGCGACCAGTTGTGGGGTCTCTTTCAGGTAGACCAAGTATGAAACCGTATATTTGCATACAGGTGCGGGCCAAGAATTGTGAGCCTCATGATGAAGATTTGTTTCTTTAGGCGGTTCATGTCTGATTCCAGGCCCATGCAAAGTCCGTGTCCTTCTTGTGCAATCTGGGCGTGGAAACCCCAAGTTCCCAAGATGAACTTTGTTGCCGGCGACAGAAACCAAGTGCCAATATCTACGAATCTACCTGGGGTTCATATTGGGCCTAGATCAACCTTCATGACCGTAGAAGGCAAAGTCTTGGTCGCCGCTCACTTCCAATGAAAACCACCACTCTGTGAATGCTTGGCTGGCTGCCTTTTTAAGTGGCACTCGTGTTTCCTTTGCAGGGGGGAGGGTCCCTCGCAGATCAATCAAAAAAGGTGTCATGTTGTTGCCATGGTTCGGACCCCCAAAAAGCAACAACTTTTGCTTCAACCTACAGATACGGATTCTTTGGGCAGCGTCCTCTAGAAAAGCACAGGGGATGAAGAAGTCTTCTTTTCCCAGATGCCCCACTAACATGATGGCCCAAGACAAGCATGAGTCTTTCTTGCGGAACCCCCCTTTTGACTGGCTTCAACAGGGAAACCACATACTTGTATTGGTTCAAACGAAAACCAAGATAAACCACCCTTGAGGGCTGCTTCCCATGGTTATCCATTTGTCTAGGGGTACCCCCAGGGATCCTTCTTTCCAGAAAACCTCCAGAGACCCAGAGAAAACGGGAGGATTGAACAGAATGGATGAGGGAAAAAGTCAACCGCCCAGAATTATGCTGGCCATGGGCCACAAATGTGAATGGAACTGGGGCCACAAGTGAGCTCCCCTGGAATTACCCATTCGCATATATGGGAAACTCACCACGAATTGTGGGAAATTCACCGGAAACCCCCACCACCCGTGGGAAGTTCACCGGAAACCCCTGGAGTTTGAAGCCCCTGGAGTTTGGAAAGGACGTTTTCCCCAGCCGCTTTGGCTCGCGAATTGGGTTTTGACCCAAACCTTCGCCAGGCGGATCCCGATCCCGATCCCGAGCGGAAGAAGCCCCGGATCGGGAAGCTGGAGGCGGGAGGTCGCAAAGAAGCGTGTTTGTCCATGTGTCCCAAAATGGTGGAACATGTGTTGGTGCGTCAATCTTTCTTTCGTCTTTGGTTTTGTTTTTGTGTGTTTTTTTGTTTGTTTGATGATTTTTTTTTGGGGGGGGGGAAGCGTCTAAACATTTGTTTGACAGGTACCTTTCTAGCGACTGGGAGAGCGAAGCAGCCAGGGATGTTCCAGATGAGAGCTCAGGAGCCACAAATGCCACAAAGTGCTGGGCAGCTATGTCAAGGTTGGTTGAAAGGGGGTCCCCGCATTGTGACAACACATACTGTGGATGTTTGGTTTTGTTGGAGGGAGCCCCAAAAACCGGCTCGAAGCAGTTGTTTTCACGTAGCTATCACCTCGAAACCAGCCCATTTTCTGAGGGCGTTCACCCCAACAGGTCGACTCGGAGCCAGAATACGCAGCTGACCCTTCGCCCTATGTCCCTTCTAGTTCAAGGGTTGCAACGGCAATACTGCAAAAGGAATCACACATCTAATAGAACTACTGCGGATGGTTGCCAACTCCATTTCGCAGCCTTCAGAATCCCACCGGTTTCTGAATCGCTGCCCCAAATACCAATTGAGAAACCTTCCGGTGAATTTCCCTAGTTTCCCAGGGTTTCATTCCCATGGTTTCACTACCTAGGTCCCCCAGTAGTGCCCTCTTACCCTTTTTGGGGGAGGGTTTCCTACTAAAGGAGACTACAGAAAAAGTTGGTACCCTTCTTCTAACCTCTCGAATCTATAGGACCTAGCTACCATGCTGACGTCTCCTTCCCATGCTTCCATGCCCGGGCGCGCCGCGCGGATGCGAGGCGAGCAGCGCCCTCTCCTCCGTGCGCGCCTTCCTGGCCTCCGCCCCGACCGCCGCCTCGGTGCAGCGCTGCGAGCCGGAGATCTCCGAGGTGAAGGCGGCCACTCGGCGCGATGCGCTGGCTGGCGGCCGGCGGGGGGGGCTCAGACGCGCATTTGGGGGAAGCTCCGTTGGGTTCCCGGCCGGCGATGGCGGGCATGCACATGACTCAAACTCGTTGGGCCCAATCCGCTCTAAGTACTCCTTTCCCAGCCGTCCCCGGCTTTGTGTCTTGGGCTTTTGGGGTGGGGTTGGGTTGTCCCAACTTAAGCCCCGAAAGGTTGGGCTCGGCCGGATTCGGATCGAAGTATCCAAGCCGAGGGAAGGCAATGGCCAGTTGCCATTTGGCTCACGACGTCAAAAGAGGGCCCGGGGTCCCGGGTTCTGGCTCTGCCTGAACCGATGTTGGAGGAGAAAGACTCTTTCGCAGCAAGAATGTGTTCACTTTGTGCTCGATCGAATTCGTCCGGAGTTCTGCGGGGCAGCCTTTGATGCACGCCGCTTACAGCAAGCCAAAAGCCACAAGATTGGCTGGGATGACCACCGTAGCAAGCTCCAGCCTTGCAAAGATGCACGCGGATTGCAGGTTTTCAATTTGTTTCAGGGCAATCTAAAAGGCTGCTTATCTGGTACTCGAAGAACCTACAAAAGTGGGGTGGGCAGCAAACACCTGGATTTGCACCTGCAGGTCGTCGAAAGCCGGTATTTTCCATATGCTTTTGGAAACCCGGGTTTCTCCTCTGAAAACCAGGTTATGTTTCGGAACCCGCTTCTGTGTGGGATTTTGGGGTAGCAGGTAAGATTGGATGGGATGACCAGCTCCAGCTCTGCGGCGCCACCCATCGCTCCCAGGAGATTCGGCTCCCGACCGCCAGCGACAGCGAGAGCGAGGAGGCTCTCGCGGTCGTTCGTTCGGTGGGGATGTTGGTTTGCTGTTTGGCTTTTTGGGAGTTTGAGAAGACCTCTGGAAGGTCAACCCCGCATGAACCAAGAATTGCTGAAGGGGTCTTCCCCTAATCAGGATCCTTCTGAGATTCTGTTGCTCAACAAGGGTTTTGGGTAATTGGCAATGAGTGGCGTATCCTGCAGGCAGATGCGATTGCTTCTTCCATTGCTTGTTCTTTTGCAGGGAAACGACTCTCAACCTGCCTTGCAGTCTGCCAGTAAGCCGAAGCCACGTTCAAAGTCCGTTTGTGCTTGTGCGGCATGCATGACGCAGGAACTGCAAGTTTACTTGGGGCATGTTTTGAAGCAGTCACGTTCTTTTTGCAAGTTCAACCAGCCCATTGTACGCAAAGTCATACCAGCAATTCCAGGAGACACCAAATGGCCATGTTCGGCATCGCGGCGCCAAGCTCATTCCCCAAACATTTCCGGGGTGCCGGCCCAGCTTGTAATTCCTCGACTTTGGCCCAGTTCTCGTCCAAGTTGCCTGGGGAGCTTTGGAAAGTGACACCAACTTGACTGCTATTGGGCAACGATCTTTAGACTCTAACTTGTTGGTTGGAATCTTTAGGGAGGCTTCCACTAAACCCGCAAAAAGTTCAAACCTTGAGGGGCTTCCACTAAACCCGCAAAAAGTTGAAATCTTGAGGGGCTTCCACTAAACCCGCAAGAAGTTCTTCACTTTTTTGCAGAAGGCTCAACAGCACCCAAGCCAAAATGTCCGCCCAGGAAGTGGAAGCCAAGGAGCTGGCGGTGGAGATGGATCTGGGCCTCGGTGTGTCTGGCGCCCAGGAATGCGCAAATACGGGTGTCCATCCCCGGAAACCCCGGAAACCCAGGGGTCCCAGGGGTCCGAGTGGCTGCTCCCAGGTTAAGGATCTTTGATCTTCGTAGTCTGA